GCCATGTCATCGTATGGCATCTTCCTGCATGGTGTATGCTCCAGTACTTATACTTGTGGTTTTAGGGACGAACCGCTTTCCCTTGAACATGTCAAGGTTGTAGTTGAAGCGCAAGAGAAATTTCTGACCGAGTTTGCTAACATGAAAGTATGACCGCGGATCTTTGGCTATTGTGTAACAAGTAGTTACGTTGTTTTGTACGTGGTGTCTTTGACAGAATCTCAAGCAAGCATAGCATCGAATCACAGGGTTGATGTCCAACAAGATAAGGTTGAATGAAACTTTTTTGAGGGGGCTTTCGTGTTGGACACCAGCACTGTGGGTAGTAAATCCAATGAAATTCATTAGGTAAAATCAGTTGATAATGTAATGAAATTCACAGTACAAGGTGCTGAAATCGAGGTGCTGAAAGTTCCGATTTTTACTCTGAAATTTCAGCGATATTGCGCTGAATTTTTACTCTGAAATAATGTGCTGAAATTCTGCTCAAGAATGACAAAAATAAATGGTGCTGACGACGGTGACATTATGTCACTAGTGACATGACATACTGTGTCACTTATTACCCATTGAGAATTCACCAAAGGCAGGGATTGAACGGATGACCTAAACCATCGTACATAGCATCACTACCACTAAGCCATGGTATCTTTAGCAGGTATAGCTACAACTCCTAATATATACCACCCTTCTCCTACATTTTTCGACTTACTACCTACGACATTCGTTCTTCAAATTTGTCGTTCGTTATTTCCTCTTCCTTGCCCCCACCCAGCACACTCTCTTATTTATCTCGGCAGACTGTTACTGCAGCCTGAGCATATTCCAGTGTTATCATAATTGTTAGAATGTATAAAGATGCTTATCTTGATTTGTGCCGCACAAGAGTCAGCGCATGACCAAATTCACAAGCAAGTTTCCCGCCCTCCCAGCGGCTCCACCTGCTTGTGTCTCTCCCAAGCTAACACTCGGACCAGCTCCGACTCTTCCTAAGCCAGACTACGCTGGAGAATTGGATTCATTGGAAAATAGCGCTGAAAGTGGTGCTGAATTCGATTCATTGGAAAATGGTGCTGAAATTTGGTGCTGAATTGGATTCAGCACTCCAATGAAATTAACTACCTGCCGTTTCAGTAGAAGTTCCAATGAAAATTTCAGCATCAGTACTTTTTCCAATGATTTTGATTGGAATCACTATCCACAGTGCCAGTTGCCCGTCGTACGTTGATGTTGTAACATAAGGAGGCACCACTGTACTAGCGTCAGGTTCAGAGATTTGGCTCATCACAGTGTCCAAACCAGTGCCTATAGAAACAAGGTAAGGAGGGATCTGTAAAGTGCAGGGACGGTAGCATTAATTACGAAGTCTGCGCAGAATCCAAATACCGCACGGTAAGGTATGATATCACTAGTGGGAGTGGTCCTGAAAAGGCAAAGTGTGAAATTATATATTATTTTTACTTACGGTCCGTCAATTGCAAGTGAGAAACCTATGGCATAAATGATATATGGACTAACATACACCTCAAGCTATAAGACAACCGACGGATATAGCCGCGATATTAATGTCATGCGGGTAGGGAGGGTTGTGTAAGCGTCTGTGCATCTCAGCCTCGTCCTATACTATCTGCATATTTCTCACACTCGAGATGAAAGGGAGATAAGCTGTTGTCGAACGAGCTTGAGGGCGTTGAACTGACTCGAAACATGATATTCAGGGGAGTGAGCAGCAGACGCAGTGTTGAGAGCCTATACGTCAACAGATGGTGTCAGCAAAAGGGTGGAACAAGCATTACTAAAATGTCATATTAGGAACGAAGATGGGCTCCTCGCCAAGGATCATGAGTAATGTTCGTACCTTGGAGCAACTTCTGGGAATTGGTCGAAGGGTGACATGACAAATAGCCTGGAGGCTGGTCACTCCGGCGTTTGCGTTTGCCAAAACCCTTCTCGCGGAAATGTGTACACCTCGGATTCCCTGTGCCGTGGCCCATCATGATCAGTTGACCAATATTACTGAAATCCTGGCCACATCATCAAGTATCAAAAATACAACGACTTTCGCAAGTACTGAAAGTCAGACAGTGATTGCATGGCAGTATGAGAACGAGGAGAGTAATGGCATGAGACTGAAGCTACGTAAAGTTGCTAAACGGTTACGACGGGATCAAGACGGGATATCATAATATATATTTCAATAATTATGGTTCTACATAATCGAGGTGCTGCCAGCATGAACACCTCATTGCACCAATGATCCGGACCATCCAGATATTATATCATTCTATACCCGTCACACTATATAATCCCATGTTCCGGACCGTGGCATTATCACCCCAACCTGCTCTGAATCCACATCATGTCAGACGCACCGGAAGTCAAGGCCACCTCAAACGGCATTTCTCCTCCAAACTTCCACTTGCCAGTCAGTCGTTGTCGTGGTACTCACAGATTCTTTCTGACGAGATACTAGTTACCTGATAGACCAGATATCATCACCGCCAACATTCAGAAACTCACGGAGCTAACGCCTGATCCGTACGTACCATGAGTACTTCAGACGCAAGTGGGCACACATATAACATACTGTATGCATGCAGACGCCACAGGTTCATCTTCAAGGCACTGGTCAAGCACCTGCACCAGTTCGTCAATGAGACCAGGCATGTTTTCTTCCTGTTAAATCTCCAGTTCTCGATTGACGCCACGACTATTTCTAGTCTAACCACAGGCGAATGGATGGCAGCGATTGATTTCTTGACGCGCACTGGACAAAAGTGCACACCATTGCGTCAAGAAAACATTCTACTATCAGATGTCCTGGGTGTTTCTGCTCTCGTCGACGCACTCAACAATCCCGTTGCAGGAGGGGCAACCGAGAACAGCGTCCTGGGTCCATTCTACACCGAGGATGCTGCAGACGGTGAGTTGCAAGCAATTCCAATGCACGTCTATATGTAAATCGACTCGCAGTGGACTTTGGTGAATCGATTGCATCTGAAGGAAAAGGAGATTACATGTACGTCGAAGGTCGGATTTTGACGACTGATGGGCAGCCAATCCCCAACGCCGTCATTGAAACTTGGGAGACCGATGACCATGGTTAGCTCCTTCCAAATCTTATCTTACGATTCATACTCATTATCTCTGTCAGGATTTTATGACACTCAATACGCAGACCGCTCGCATCCCGACTGCAGAGGTCGCCTACGCTCCGACGACGATGGTAAATTTGGCTATCGCGCTGTTGTGCCAGTAGCGTACCCAATTCCTGGAGACGTAAGTCGATGTTTCATGGCTATGTGATCTTACACTGAAAATGTCGTCCCTAACAGGGTCCTGTTGGTGAACTTCTTCTCCTTCTTGGCCGGCACAACATGCGGCCAAATCATTTACACATGATGGTCGAAGCCCCTGGTTTCCACAAATTGGTCACGGCATTTTATCCAGATGGCTGCGACTATCTAAGAAGCGATTGCGTCTTCGGTGTCAAGAAATCCTTGGTAGTGGTATGTCTAGGTTCCTAGGTTCCTTTGAGACCACTTGGTTTGACACTCGTCTTTACAGAACTTAAAGGACGTTGTAGACGATGAAGAAACTCGTAAGCGCGGATTTCCTCAGGGTGGTTCATTCAAGTTATTACAATACGACATTGTATTGCTCACGGAAGACCAGTCTGCCACGATACGTGCTGGCGTTGAGGAACGTTACACGATTACGCAGGATCATAAAAGTAATAAATCATAATGGACTTGATAGGCTACGGATGTTTTACTTAGTCATGTGACTCATGTCTTTATTATTAGTGTAATACCGAACGAAACTGCTAAGCCCGCATCTGACATTTTTAGAACACGCCGTGTGAGGTGGAATGCAAAACGGATGATCAACTAGTGTGTACTTACAACTGATTCCGAAATAGATGGGTTCTCTGTCTTTCAAAAACCTATCTCACAAAGACCACGATTAGAGTCACCGCAGTTAGCGACACTAGTACGCTCTTGGTGCAGCGCTTTCCCATACACCACTTTTTGGCTTCTTCATTCTCATGCACCATCTCTCGTGTCCACCATCCTTTTCGATACAGAACTTGGGTGTGTAGTGTAGCGTCTCCTGGACAATGTTTTATATATGATGAAATTTTCATCATGAACGTATCTTTGATTTGCTGGTGAGATGAGGATGTAACATAAAATTATGACTACCAATGACAGGAACATGTGTATGTAATGCGGAGCTGCAAGCTAGGAGCAGAAGGAATAATCGAGGATGCAGTGGAAATCACTAAAGAAAGAAAGTGAAGACCGCGCCAATAGCGATGACTGACAAGGAGGAGAGGAGGCAATGAGGCAAGGGATGATGACTGTGAGCGCAACGGGGATCTGGCGCTAGATCTTGTGCGGACGTGCCGCCCAGTCTTGATGCGCTGTTGCCCATAAAAAAAATCGACTGACGGCGACGGCATAACTAGGCTGCACTGCACTGTGCAGGTACCAGTAAGAAACGGCAGCGAGATTGGTGTCGAGAGTTACGGACAGGACTCAAAGAGATGGCGGCATTCACGAGCACGAGGGTTAAAAAATTGGCATAGGATGCTGCAGCAGCTGCGCAAAGACCGCGAACTCGACGATTAGGGCAACAAAGACAGTTTTCGGGGTTCTAGTCCGAATCATAAGATAGAGCACGCCCCTACCCAGCGGACGTTTCGAGGGTGGGGGTCCCGTCTAGATAGTTTAGTACATATCAATAGAGCAATTTTCTCTCACCTGCCATAATTCAAACACCGAACTTCTCCCCTCCAGAGTCCACCTCTCAACGTTCAACGACCGCTGGCGCAAGCGTGAAGATAGAGCCGCATTAGAGCCGATCTATGTATTTCGGAATCGTAAATCACTCCATTCACTACTAGGACCTATTCGGAACACTAAAAGCAAGTAACTAGCCCAATATATAATAGCATACATGTATTATGTACAGATACTTGACACAAACCCAACAGGTCACGCCATCTCAACATCCTCTGCAGTAATGGCCGCTTTCTTGCCTGTAACACCTTTGTCATCAGCCATAAAAGTGTCGAGTTCTTCATCAAGCTGCTCTGCCGTGGGGGTTTTAGATCGCACAGGCTTTGGAGCCTTTGTCCTCGATGACGAGGCAACTTTCGCGGATCGTGGTTGGCGTGTGCGAGTTAAACCGGCACTGAGAACACGAGGATACAGTTAGAAGCAGTGCTAGAGGTGTTTCACTCCTTACCCTCCTTGCTGTTTCGGTCCAGCACCGCCACTCAAACGCTCTGCCAACGAAGGTCGTTCAATCCTACTCAAGAGCGAGGATGTTCGTAATGGCGCGGTGTCGAATGTGATTTCCATAGATTGTCCTACATAGTGAAGAAAACGATTAAATGAGGACGCATCCAGGTCACACTGCACACTCAAACCATCGAATATCAATACATACCTTTGGCAAGTTTACCATCGAACTGTCTCTTGGCACGTGTTGCTTGCAAGGGTGTCTCGAACGACACAACTGCCACACCAGATGAACGTCCACTGCGGTCGTACTTTAAAAATGAAAAGCGGATTTCAGGTTCAGTTTGGTTGTCATCTTCAGTCATATGAACCAGAAGCGAAAGCGATCCGAATCATCCACAAGCATTGTCCGGTCCATGCGAGCGAAATAAAAATCCGGGTAGGAGGTGATGGGATGTTTTCGAATTCGGAATCATCGTACCCTAATCAAAGGCTCGCGAACGAGCGTGCCTATTTGTCCGAAAATGGACTGGAATGGGACATAAGGCGCTTTCTAGTCATGGGCGGCATAAAATACTTACCACCAAGTCTTTAGGCGTGATCTCGTAGTGTAGGTTGGATACGATGAGCTTTGTAGTTGAACCAGTGTTGGCTGGTGTATTTGCCTTTGCTGATTGAAGCGGAGCTCGGTCATGGACCCAATGGCCGTCAGACCCTTGAGAACGCTGAGGGCATCGATGAATCAGACAAGACACCTGCTACGAAATCAAAACTTACAGTATATGGCTTTTTCTGCCTTTCAGACCTGATGGGAGCCATAAAGATACTTGAACGTCAAGTAATTAGTTCAATAGATGGAAGCAAGTAGCACGTTGTTCAAGTCGAAGAAATATCATATTCCACAAGGTAATAAGCGGCGTTTGAATTCGGCAATTTCCGGACGCAGCCCCTGAGTTCAATCGTATAGGTACAAGGCTGTACGAGGTAGCATGCAGTGTTAGTGAGCGCCAATGAGCATGTAGAGTGAAATGAAGACTTTCATTACGATTGATAATCTGATATATTCTCACAGATTGTCGGCCAAGAAAATCATGAACAGGGTTTCATGCAAGAGCGTGTCACAACGCGATTGAATTTGACAATTATCGTACGAACCGATTCCATTCAAAGTACATACATATAGACATAATTTGCTACCCACAAACAACTACTGACAAGATTAGCACCAAGAAACCACGTTGTATCGAACGAATACGACAGCTCCAATTTACAACATAAATGGCCATTCATCGCCTATATCTACGAAGTGTAGTGAGAATTCGCTACGCCAGGGCACAGAGTAAGAGTGATATCGGTGTTCCCGCAAGTATACACGACAAAGTCAGCAGGAACATAACCATCTGAACGATAATCATCAGCCCGCTGTACCGATGGCAGTAAAATGAAAACACATACTCGCGCCGTCATTGTCAGGGAATGCATAGGCATTATAACAAGTGTCATAGTAGAAAGGACTGTTGGGGCCAGGGCCCTCGTTGTTAACGCAGCCTCCTCCGCCAGCGGGAAGAGCACCACCGCTGCACGCGCTCGCAGAGGAGCAGCACGGGGAGTAGCACGTGTCGGATCCAGGTCCGGGAACGGGCTAAAACATCATGAATATGCATAATGTCAACACAGATGGATCACTCACACAGCCAGATGAGATCGTGCAAGCGAAGGCATCGCAACTCGAATCAGCGGAGGAAATCTCCATTCCAACATTATACCCATAGATGAACGAGAGATCGTATGTCACTTTTCCGGGGATTGCGTACTACGTTTTAAGTCAGTAATTATTTTGATGCCAGCGACGGGAACCCACAAAGTTAAATTCGGCTCTACTGAAGGGAGTGTTACCATCCCAGGTAGGCCCACCAGTGGTACACGTAGTACCGCCGCTGTTGCATCCAGTACCTAGTGACGCGGTCAGCGAAAAGCTGGCGAGATGAGTTACACACTTACCGACGTTGATAGCGCCATCCCAGTTGGAGCTAATGCCTAGGTTTGCACTCTGGCCTTGAGCAATGTTGACGTTGGTGTCGATAGAACCGTAGCTAGTGCTCGTGTACAAGAAAACAGATTCAGAGCATTTGTTTACAACGGTGAGAGACTGGGCTCGAGCCACGGTCACGATCGTGGCTAAAACTAAAGCGGAGAGAATGGCCATTGAGCAACGATTAGACAACTTAGAAATGGGAGACAATGATATCGTTTAGACACTTTATGGGCCCCTTTATATCAGAGCTCTTTGGCCGTGAGCGCGTCAGCATTTTATTGGAAGTCGATACTAAAAATGAAGCCACAGGATTTCGTCGCAAATAGTGCCAATTGGCAAGTAGTACTAGTATGCTGCGGGATGCGCATGGTCATTGATTTTTGACCGGAAACCCTGATCCGGAAGACGGCAAGAATTGACGGAGGATGCGATGGCAACTCAACATTGCACGAAGGGTGCTAGAAGACAAAATAAGTTCAACTTGAAACACACTAACAACAAAATAATACTTCTGTAAACAATAGGTATTGTGCGAGGTCCCAACAGATAATGAATAAAGTTTTTTCTAAAAAGAAACTTCTGTCAGTGCATGACTGCCACTGCAATTTGTTCTAAGGTCACGAAACTATTTCTGATTCGGTTGTTTGGAGACTCACTTGTGATTACTCGGACACACGGTTGAAAGGTTGTAGCCCGTTGTGGGCAAGCTTGAGTTGGCCACTAGCGAAATTTGATCCAACAAATAATAAATATAAGCTAATAAAAGGTAGGTTGACGGTCTTGCAATCTACTTACTTGATTTGTGCAGCATGTGTAGCTTGTTCAAACTTTTACGCGTACGTTGTGTATCGGGGTTTAAAGTATAAACTAAACACCAGATTGGGCCTTGTATACAGATGAGCGCTCGAGCGCTCAGCCCAGAGTCTTGTGTACGGTTAAGGATGCTAGGCTGTTCAACGCTACATCAGGCTTCAAAGCTTCACGACCTGAGGCGCAAGATCAGGTTCCAGGGATGCTAAGCTGTTCCGAAAAATGCTACATCAGGCCTCATGATGACCCAAAACGCAAGGAAGACCCTTTCGTCCTAGTTTTCTGTTGTTGCGGCATCCAGTGTAAGAGCCGTGACTATTTTTACGAAGTGAGTTTTCGGATTTAAGTATAACTTATGGCATATGCATATAGTATCGGTACCGGCATCTTCATACTAGCGCTGACCACTGCATTATCCCTGGTTGCACGCCACTTCACACCCATTGCGACAGGTTGCGACGCGATGAAAGATTGATATTTTTATTGCCGTGTTCCTATAGAATGGAAGTCCATTGCTGGACTAGGTTTATGGATTGATTCTGAATCTTCTTTCTAATGATTTTTTACCTGCATATCTTATGCATCGGCATTTTCGTACGTCGTGCTCTATTATTCACACAAATTGAACTTTAACACGAGCGTCTACAGGATTCATCATTCTGTAGCCCACATCCTATATTTCACTCACCCGGTCTCCTACACTATCGGAAAATCAAGGGCTCACCGTGTTCACTACCATAATCATTGGGCAATACATGGTCCCCGACTGTCGCGCCGACTCGTTGTGCCTTGAAAAGTATTTGGACTTATCAAACTTCGTCCGGTTTTCTGAGCCAAACCACCCGCTCTTCCAGGCACGGGGAAGTGAGCCTCTGTCGCAAAACATAGCCTGTACTGCCTACATATCGTAGCCGATGAAACGGAATATTAGTAGGTCATGCTGATACAGTGAGTATTATTTGGTCTCAGAGAAAAATTACCACCGCCCTCCCATGGAATGTTTCTGTGCAGAGATCGTGAAAATAGACCGTTCAGATCATCCCCAGAGATGGTTACGTTTTCTGAGTGGAATTATTCTTCAGATTCTGATATGTCAACGGTGTAGTCAACAGATTCAGGCGGCCACGGCCCTGTTTTCTGTGCCGCAGGGAGCGCCACATCTACGAGCCCAGGATACTACTCAATTGACTGAGGCGGGTATTGTGAATGGATATCTCAATCAAGTTAATACTAAGGATGATCAGATACTCATAATCATATTACCGCGATGCCGGTGGTACCTTAAACACCATCAGACATACTGACCTCGGCTTCCATCTTACAAGCCTCCCTTACAGGATTCCTCTGACATGTGTGTAAAACTGCGTACGCAGTCTTCGCTGTCAGCAACGAACAGATGGGTTTCTTTTGATGGATTAGAGCCTGAGACAGATTTGAATCAGGCATCTTAGGATCACTGAGAGAAGCGAGGTTCTCGCTGCTTCCGCAATTCTTTACGACAATTCCTAGTGTTTGGGGCGTTATAATAGAAATGCTGATGAATGCATGTAAGGAAGTCTACCGCCATTTTTTATAATAATGATGAATCAGATTTGCTAGAATGAACTGTCTTATTCAATGTCAAGCCGAGCACCGCGAACACCGATTCAGAAAATATAAATCTACGTTCAACCAGTGGCTCCCTCGTCTCTTAGACGTGGTGTGCTACCTAAATTTAACAATTATCAAGTACTATCATGGTCAGTCATGTTCTCAGAAGCTATAATATATATGCGGAAAACGAGACTCGCAACTTCAAGTCCTCGCCGTAATGTCACTCTCACTGTTCTTTGATGGCTACATTGACTTGTGAGCTGGCTGTAATTACATTAACCATCAGCTGGGCGGTTGTCGATCATCACTGCGATGGGTTGAGAATCACGAGTGGAAAGTTTTATGCGACCGATTTCTTCCGAAAGCGAAAATTCCTTCCACCAAAGTCTTGACGCGACGCATCATGATGCCACACGCACTCAATACCCTGAGAGTCGCTGCTAGAGAGGAATGTCGAGGTGCTGAGTAGATTTTTGTCTCCATACTAGACTCTTGTTGTTTCTATATTCCATTTCGCAACCTGTCAACGCGCCGCCGCTGCATACACTGGAAAGTTGATGGTGTCTTTGTCGTCCAATCAAAACATGATTATCTAATACCCAAGGATTTCTGGACTGAACACAGCTGGACGTACGCTAACTTCAATGAACGGCAGAACACTGGAACTGTTCAGCACCTTCACGGCAACCTAGACTCCAGCTTCTGCCAAGTTTCTTCAGACATACACGGGAACAGCTTTCCGGCCTATGCCACCCATTCAGTCCTGTTCATATGGAATTTCGCTGGATTTAGTCCGCTCCGCATGGCACGAAGGCGTATGAGAAAACCAGACAGGATCAGCATTTAATGCGGCTACAAGAGACGAATACGTGTTCGAAAGGACTGCGCTAGGCTGATGGGCAAAGGACTGGAACATAGTACAGTGCGTGTGTGACGCCACCTTAGAATGAGCGCATGAAAATAAGACTCGCTTTCACGTCAATGTTGAGTATCTCCTTATGGACCACATTGATCTGACAAATCGAATAGCATATATCTCATGACTCCCGGGTAAAACATCACAAGCCTACGTGACTAGCTTACAGTACAAGCAATAGTTGACGAGTCCAATATGTGTCATACTCTTTGGATCGACCAACCCTCCCTTTTCCCAATGCATGGTCCTTCCTGCAACTTGAACGCAACGTCATCCAATCTGGCCATGATCTTCGCGGTGATGACAGCTGCAGCCGGTGGTGCCCAGCTTGCCGCTATGCACTTCAGCTTTCCGTGCCCAAAGGCATACAGCTGGTCCCTTTTAGGAGCGGCATGGCTCGCGTGAAACCGCATAGGATTGAAGGATTCTGGATCATTTCCGAAGAGAGGCGATTTGTGTGCCTCTTCGATGTCTGCCACATCTGTGGATGGGACGAACGGTCGCTTCCACCATGGGACGACCACGGCACGAGTGATGTGACGAGTCGGGGGGTGGAGTCGGAGAACCTCACAGATGATTGCCTCTGCACTAGGCTGCGCTCCTGTCCCTTCGTTTGCGAAGGCGCGGAACTGATCGTCAGTGGGGTTCTCATTATATGAGGTAAATGCATCGCGTAGCACGCTATCGCGGTTAGAATATACCACCGCAATTGCTGTTACGCGCCACATTGTTTCATATGCGGGGATGATGAGATTGAGAGGATTAGTTCGGTCTGGAACCCATCTGATGATGTGATGGTTGATGCGATCGAGCACTTCTGCAGTGAGAGTAGTGCTCGATTTGGATTGTGCCCAACGGTCGTTGATGGCCTTTGTCACAAATGCCACGTCCACGGGGTCAAGATCTTCAATATCTGTGCCCAACAGACCTGCCAATACGATACTGAGCGTAACAGACTGCACGAAGGTGGCGTAGTCGAGGCTCTTTGCGTTAAGGAACCTGTTCACGCAGGTTTCGGCGATGTCAACAAGCCTTGACCATCCCTCTTTCGCGCTGACAGCGCCTATTAGGACTTTCGCTTCGCGAGTGAAGTTGTCATGGACGCCGGTATCATCGCTGACAAAGGTGCTCGATATACCGAGCGCCTTCACCAAACGCTGGTTTGGTATGGATCTTGCGCGTAATAACGCGTGAGTGGGGATATCAGGAGGACTCAGTAATGTCCTGACGGCGCTGACACTGCTGTGTATCCTTGTCTTTGGGGTTGTGAAAGCTTTGGCGACAATTGCCACGACTGCGACGGCAGCGGAGAAAATCAACACGATACTAGTATGAGGCATTGCGGGTGTCAACTGAATGAACCTGTTACCTCAGTATTTATCTAGGCGGTTCGTACCATATTGCTAGCTTTGGAACCGTGTAACCTTCTGACGAGAGTTCAACACGTTCTTGACTCGAACTCTAATAACACGCGGTTTTTTCGCGATCTAGGAGAGCCTTAATAGCTGTAGCTCGAGAACATTCGAGCTCGCACCTATGGACTGCCAGGAAACCTTTACTTTGTTTACCCTTCCCATGGTCGAAACGGTGTTTTTGTAGGCACGCCGCATGCAACAATAGGCCTGGTCAATTCTAAAATGACATTGTCAATGTCGACTTGACCTTACGGCCGTCCTCGTAAATTACTTGATGCACGGACCCGAGTGATGTGGGGCTTGTTAGCATTCTGAAATAAATCGGCTCTATGTAGAAACCTTGTTAGCATTCCGAAATAGATCGGCTCTATGTAGAAACCACTGCAGTACTAGTGGCACTTTACGGCACTTAAGCTTCATCATTCATGGATCCGGAGTCGGGGATCTCTACGAGCCACGACACATGTGACACCTAGTACTTGGGTATCACCTCGTAATATCGTGTGGCGGCCCTAGCTCAGCAATACGCCGATGTTGGGTCGGGCGCTGAGCTCAAGTCAAACTAGACCTCCAGAGACTTTGGTCTCTAAAACCTTCGCAATAGAATATCGCTCAAAGATAATGAGTGGAGTTGCCTGACTGTCAATTTATAGTCAGTTCCATGTTTTCTGCGACAAGCTACCAGTGATGCGGCAGTGTACTGCCGCAACAACTTGTACTAACGGGCTAACAGTGCAGATAGAACCGAACCGAACAAGATCGGCATTTCTAAGAACTTCGAGACTAGTCTCAGCGTGATGTAATGATCATATGGGTGCCAAGCAGATAGGCCAGGGCCTGGCTATCACGCGTAAGAGTTACCGTCGAGATCTAGAAGAACGAGGTACATATTTACCTCACCTACAACACTGCAGGAGAGGAAGACCTTGACAGGATGCTCTATTCTAAAATGTTGTCGTTTGGGACCTGGCCCGAGCGCTGCTAAACCTGGATTTGTGCCTAAACCGTACGCAAGCGCCTAATGAACTTGACATTATGATGGTCCTTAGGTTTGTTTCCGACATATGTTTCCATTAGTTACTCACAAGCCGCAGGAAGAAGAGGTCGACAACACCTTCCCGAGAACGAAAATCGAGGTATGAGTTGCAACTTGCTCGTTAATGCTCGTTGTCGTAACTGATTTCAAGTATTTAAGCCTGGTTGCCTCGATCGAGGTGTGTTCTTACGTTATTATGCTGTTCGTACCTCTTCTCTCATAAAGTGTGTCGGCAGCCGAAGTAATATTCCGGAACGCTTATCATTCCCGGGGCGAGCTGTGTACACAAAACGATAAGATGCCAGCAACTCAGGAATGCTCACCTTACGTATAAAGTTTCTGATGGAACTCAAGGTTGCCTCATACAAACTTTTCCATCTTCTGACCCAATCCACATTGCTGGAGCACCATGGATCCCGAACAAAACTTGCCCAAGTTGCCTTTCACGCCCATTGAGCACTCTACTCAGCCCCAAGTCCAACAACAGCGGCCTTCGCCATCATCACTGATATTTGAAGACAGCGGAGATCGTCCACAGACCCAGTCATCGGCGGCTGAGAAGCACTTACTTGGCAATGACAGTTTAGAGGGACATTCACCGGCTCGTGCCAGTGGTCGCAACGATCCATATGCAGATTTTGAGCCTGTCCCTCAGGCTCCTCCACCTACAAGAAGCCGGGACGCTCATATGATGCGCGGATTGTCGCGGCGCACCATTCCAGGCCAGGCTCCCGTCAGCGCTTCTGGCCTTGGCTGGATAGTGCCTGTCGATGAGAAACCTCACGTTTGTGTTGTTCCCCCTTTTTAGTTTACATCGATTCTCAGCCTGAACCTACAGCGACGGACCATAGAAGAGCGACTTCGTCCAACTATTCTCAAAGCGGAGAGTGAGAGGGAACAATACGCTAAAAAAGGTTTGTCAAATTGTCAAATATCGCTCCTCTGCCGCTCAGTATGAGAGCACGATGCTGAAGTTCCTTATTTCTGGCATGATCTGACGGCGTTTCTTTTTTAGCAAAAATGACAGGCTGGGCGTTGAACGTCGCGATAGGTTTACAAGTTTTTCTTGGGGCGCTTACTACAGGTCTTGCAGCGGCATTGTCCGGTAAGCAGGTCAGTTCGAAAGTGCATACATATTATTTTACGATAAACTAACTCTCCATACAATCCCAGGTTTCGATCGGTACCTCTATTCTTGGTGGGTATTCATGTCACCTACATTCAAAACTTTCCTGAAGACCACGCCCCAGGTGGCATGTCGACCTTAGTTGCTTCCTACCTCGCTCGCGCAAGGGGATCAAATGAACCAGAACTATCTATCGCGCGCGTGAAGGACCTGGATCAATTTTTAAGAGACTGCCTTGCCTTTGAAATGGATCATGGACATGAATATGGAACACCCGAAAATGGGCTGAATGATCGACTCGAGTATCTCAGAAAAAGGTTTGAGGAACTTCTTGGAAATGCTGATGGGTAGGTCATCTTACGCTCGCGTTGCTATGCTATGTTGAAATTTGACGAACCTACTTTAGGCAGCGGAAGCTTTCCCCACCTGTTTAAGTGTACTTCTGGACCTCAATTAAGGTTCAACCCCGCAAACAAGACGGGTAGTTTGTGATATGCGCAACCCTCCTAGTAATTTATCTACAAGCCAATATGTAGACCTCTCTGAAATAGTATCCAACGTCACCTTGCCGTTCCGAAACACTCACTGCAGATGGTGACTCTTGCTAATATCCAAAATCTTCCGTCACCCGGCGAGTCGAGTTCCACAAAATCAAGGCGGCCCTGCAAGGAAACAAGGAGGACTCCCGTACTAATTAGTTAATTATGAGATACTTGAGCTACGACTCGCAGTAATCTCAAGCTTTACGCGTATGTGTACAGTAATTTTGAGGTGCGTGATGATAACCTGATCTAACGATACGCATGTCACGGCTGGTCATTTACTCAGTCATGACTGACTTGGCCCTGCAGGACGAAGTGAGCGTCAAACATCAAGATACTACAGCTCGAAAACTCACAAGTTACGCGGGAAGTCGACGTCAAACCCGTTCTTGATGGCCAAGTGGTAGCTCAACAGCTGCAGGAGAATAATGTTCAAAAGACTTTGCAAGCAGTCCATAGTGCGAGAAACGATCATCAAAGTTCACGCGTCTACGCATCGTGTTGACGACGGATTGGGGCTGTTCGTGAATCTCTTTCTGCATGAAGTGATTAAACTTGCCCTTCATGATCTCGGCGATTTCAATCTCGAGCGTCTCGATGTTGCAAATGGCAGGTGTCTCAGCCTTACCAGACTCATCCCGGCGCAGACGGTGAATGTGTAATTGACCCTCAGCGATGTGAGCGATGTCATCATCTTCCAAGTAGAGCACGCGCTTGGTGTGCTCCACAATGGTGGAAGCGTCAGAGGCGATGAAGAATTCGATGGGCTGGGGCATGCCGTCCTCCGACATGAAGCTGTGGGACCAATGACGAGAAACCTTGGGTAACGATGGAGGCACTAATCGAGAAGTGGGGGAAGTGGGAACATCAACCGGAAGAGCACTTAGCGAAGATCAGATCGAGGGACGAGATAACTCACAGCTTTCGGCTTTGGTGTCAGCTTCAAGTTCCGCTCTATGATAGCAAACTCGACATCCAGGAAGTCGACTTTGAGTTTCTTATCAGTCTTCACACCAATCAGGAGGGGCGTTAGGTCAGGTGCTGAAGCTCAAGTCGAATTGGACCTCGGTCTCTAAACCTTCGCAATAGAATATCGCTCGAAGACAATGAGTTGAGTTGTCTGACAACCGATTTATAGTCAGCTCAGTTCCATGATTTCTGCGACAAACCACGAGAAATTTCAGTGACGGCAGTGCACTGCCCCAACAAATTTTAATAAAGGGCTAACAGCGCAGATAGAACGGAACGGAACAAGATCGGGAAACGAGACGAGTCTCAACGTGATTAGTAAGGACAACACTGACTCGAGATGCGATGAAGGCTGACTCGGGTGTGAGTACATGACGCATGGTACTGAGTAGCATATGTCCTGAGTAATATGTATATGGACGTTCCAAATGATCACATGAGTGCCAGGGGAAAGCTGTCACCGTTGAGAACTAGAAGAACGAGGTACATGTTTTACCTCACTTACAGCACGACAAGAGAATGTCCATGTCACTTGATGGATATGTTTGATTCCAAAATCCTCAGTAAGCCCGAGCAAAGCCCGAGCACCGCTATCGTGCCTAAACCTTACGTAAGTCGTAAGAGAAAGAGGTCGACGACAGTCACAACACCCTCCCGAGAACGAAAATCGAGGCATGAGTTTCAACTCGTTAATGCTCGTTGCTGTATTTGATTTCAGGTAGTATCTGAAACCTGTTCGAGCGGCTGAGCCTGGTTGCCTGGATCAAGGTATGTCCTTATGTTATGCTGTTCGTACCTCTTCTCTCTCATAAAGTGTCTCGGCAGCCGAAGTAACATTCCGGAACGGTTGTCATTCCCGGGGCGACAAAGCGATAAGACGTACCAGTGCTCAGGAATACTCACCTTCTGTATAAAGTTTCCGATGGGACTCAAGGTTGCCTCACACAAGCTTCTCCATCTTCTGACCCAATCCACATTGCTGGAGCACCATGGATCTCGAACAAAATTTGCCTAAGTTGCCTTTCACGCCCATTGAGCACTCTGCCCAGCCCCAAGTCGAGAAACAGCAGCCTTCGCAATCATCACTTGGATTTGAAGACAACGGAGATCGTCTGGCACAGACCCAGTCATCGGCGGATGAGAAGCACTTACTTGGCAATGTCAGTTCAGGGAGACATTCACCGGCTCGTGGTCGCAACGATCCATATGCAGATTTTGAGCCTGTCCCTCAGGCTCCTCCACCTGCGAGAAGCCGGGACGCTCATATGATGCGCGGATTGTCGCGGCGCACCATTTCAGGCCAGGCTCCCGTCAGCGCTTCTGGCCTTGGCTACATAGTGCCTGTCGAAGAGAAACCTCACGTTCGTGTTGCTCCCCCTTTCTAGTTTACATCGATTCTCAGCCTGAACCTACAGCGACGGACCATAGAAGAGCGACTTCGTCCAACTATTCGCAATGCGGAGAGGGAGAGGGAACAATACGCTGTAAAAGGTTGGTTAAATTGTCAAATATCACTCCTCTTCTGCTCAGTACGAGAGCACGATGCTGAAGTTCCTTATGACTGGCATGTTCTGATGGCGTTTCTTTTTCAGCAAAAATGACAGGCTGGGCGTTGAACGTCGCGATAGGTTTACAAGTTTTACTCGGGGCGCTTACTACGGGTCTTTCGGCGGCATTGTCCGGTAAGCAGGTCAGGTTGAAAGTGCATATCATTTTACGATAAACTAACTCTCATACAATTCCAGATTTCGATCGTTGTCTCTGTTCTTGGTAGGTATCCATGTCCCCTACACTCAAAACGTTCCTGAAGACCACGCCCCAGGTGGCATGTCGACCTTAGTTGCTTCCTACCTCGCTCGCGCAAGGGGATCAAATGAACCAGAACTATCTATCGCGCGCGTGAAGGACCTGGATCAATTTTTAAGAGACTGCCTTGCCTTTGAAATGGACCATGGACATGAATATGGAACACCCGAAAATGGGCTGAATGATCAGCTCGAGTATCTCAGAAGAAGGTTTGAGGAACTTCTTGGAAATGCTGATGGGTAGGTCATCTCGCGCTCGCTTTGCTATGCTATGTTGAAACTCGACGAATCTACTTTAGGCAGCGAAAGCTTTCCCCACCTGTTTGAGTATACTTCTGGACTTCATTCCCGCAAACAAGACCGCTGGTGACAAGATTAGTTTATGATATGCGCAACCCTCCTAGTAATTCATCTACAAGCCGATATGTAGACCTCTCTGAAATAGTATCCAACGTCACTTTGCCGTCCCGAAACATTCATTGCAGATGGCGACTCTTGCTGGTGTCCAGAGCCTTCATTCGCACTTGTCCACCATATCGGGAGAGGTGATCAAGCCCTCGAAAATGTAAGTGATGGTCCACAACAACCTCTACAGCGCGTTACATCAGAATGCGTCATTGAAGATGCCAATAGCAGTCTGAGAGACAGCAGGTGTTTAAACTGATAGAAAAATCAAATTTTCTTTCAAGGCGAGTCGAGTGTCTACCTTGCGATGATTGTACCTAAGACGCAGACCAGAAACACCCCTGCTAATTAGTAGATGCGATCTGGACAGTGACACGCTCACAAAAGCATCAGTCCCAGGACTACTATGGGACCATCAGGGGTCGGGTGTGATCAAGTAGCCAAACATAAAGACTGACTCTAGATCGAACACAAAATCAAGGCGGCCCTACAAGGGACCAAGAAGGACTCCCATACTAATTCTGTAGTTAATTGAGCTACGACTCGCAGTCGTCTCAAGCTTTACGCGTACGCATCGATCGGTATTGTCAGCATGAGACAGGGTCATGAGCTTGTCTCTCTGCGCTCCGTTGACAATGATATACGATAGTTTTCCCATGTGATAATTCACAAGGCAATAATTTCATTGTCTTACTGTACAAGTTACAACAAAACCGCGGCGTTCACTTGATCCATCATATCCTTCAAGTCATGCCTCGTCATCTCCAAATAGCTAGATTCAGCGCTCTGGTCATAAAGACAGTTGCTGAGGTATATGGTATACAGAATGAAGAGTCGGCGACAAACAAGGGGAGATATACGGTATCGGATGAGAATTGTGAAGTAAAAGAAAAGAAAGGTTGAAACCGTCCATGAATGCAGATCGTCCGTTGTCCAGTGCAAAACCAAATCAAGTCCGTGAAAGGGGTGTATGTGTACAGTAATTTTGAGGTGCATGATGATAACCTGAGTTAACGATACGCATGCCACGGCTGGTCATTTACTCGGTCGTGACTGACTTGGCCCTGCAGGACAAAGTGAGCGTTGAACACCAAAATACAACTCAAAAACTCACAAGTTACGCGGGAAGTCGACGTCAAACCCGTTCTTGATGGCCAAGTGGTAGCTCAACAGCTGCAGGGGGATAATGTTCAAAAGACCTTGCAAGCAGTCCACAGTGCGAGGAACGCGAATGGTCTTCACCCCAGCCTTGATTCCGGTGTCACCCTCGTTGCAGACCACGATAGGATGAGCTTTGCGAGCGGTTATCTGTTCGAACGCGGACTGGACCTTCGGGTATAGAGAATCCTGGGTCATGATGATGATGACCGGCATGTTCTCGTCGATCAACGCCAAGGGACCATGCTTGAGCTCTCCTGCAAGGATACCCTCCGAATGCATATAGCTAATCTCTTTGATCTTGAGGGCGCCCTCGAGGCAAGTAGCATGCCTAAAAGAGATCATCGATTAATCTTACGGTTTGGGTCGTGAACGAGAGCTACTGACTGATATCCACGGCCCATCAGCAACAAACTGCGCGAGTTTGCAAGGAGGCTATTGGCAAGTTCTCGCAGGCTCTTGTCATTTTCGAGAACACTCTTGATTTGCGCAGGGAGAGCACGAAGGCCATCAATGATCTGGTTGCGGCGTTCAGTGAAGGAGATCCGATCCTCCGATAGCTGCAGTGCCATCAACATCAGTGCGATGTACTGGGAGGTATATGCCTACAAAACGTTCATGTCAGATGGTTAAAAAAATGGGAAAATTTCCATACTTTGGTAGACGCAACGCCGACCTCAGGGCCAGCATTGATGTGAATACCACAGTGTGTTTCACGTGAGATCGTCGAACCGACAGTATTGACGACCCCCACACAAAGGGCGCCACGCTCCAAGCAGTACCGCAATGCCAGGATAGTATCAGCGGTCTCTCCACTCTGGCTGACAAAGACACAGATGTCATCGCGGAAGATGGGAGTCTTCCTGTCCAGGAAGTCGGATGCGAGTTCTACACTGACAGGGATTTCCGTCAACTCCTCGAAGATCGCACGAGTTGCCAACGCAGAGTGATAACTCGTTCCGCAAGCGCAGAATACGATACGACGACCGCGGCGCATAATGTGCAGATAGGCACGCAGCCCACCGAGCGTGATCTTATAATCATCGAAGTTCATGCGTCCACGCATCGTGTTGACGACGGATTCAGGCTGTTCGTAAATCTCTTTCTGCATGAAGTGATCAAATTTGCCCTTCATGATCTCGGCGATTTCAATCTCGAGCGTCTCGATGTTGCGAATGGCAGGTGTCTCGGCCTTACCAGACTCATCCCGGCGCAGACGGTGAATGTGCAATTGACCCTCAGCGATGTGAGCGATGTCATCATCTTCCAAGTAGAGCACGCGCTTGGTGTGCTCCACAATGGCGGAAGCGTCAGAGGCGATGAAGAATTCGATGGGTTGGGGCATGCCGTCCTCCGACATAAAGTTGCGGGACCGACGGCGAGAAACCTTGGGTAACGATGGAGGCGCCAATCGAGAAGTGGGGGAAGTGGGAACAGCAACTAGAAGAGCATTTAGCCAAGGTGAGATCGAGGGACGAGATAACTCACGGCTTTCAGCTTTTGTGTCAGCTTCCGCTCCAGCAAACTCGACATCCAAGAAGTCGACTTTGAGTTTCTTATCAGTCTTAACACCAATCAGGAGGGGTGAACCGCGACGGGCAGTCACGATCTCATTCGGGAAGTGGATAGACTTGAAGACCAAGGCGAAAGAACCCTCGAGTTCTTTCAGGACGGTCTTCACGAGAGCTGTGAAGGTCATGCGTTTGTCAGGCCGAGAGTCGTAGACGTATTTTGTCAGAATGGCGACCGCCTCCGTGTCAGTGTCAGACTCGAACTTGAAGCCACGCTTCTGCAGGACTTGCCGAAGAGCTATGGCGTTGGTCACGATACCATTGTGCACAACGATGAACTCGTTGTTCACATCAGATCGAAGGGGATGGCAATTGGCAACAGAAGGAGGACCATGCGTTGCCCAACGGGTATGGGCAATAGAGACCTGGGATATCACCGTCTTGGTGGTGTCGATGGTGGACTCTGCAATACGCTGCCGTAAGCCGGCAACCTTGCCAACCTCCTTGAAAAAAACAATTTCGTTTGTTTTGTCGCCATCGATACCGAGACCAGCAGAATCATAACCACGGTACTCTTGACGAGCTAGACCCGTGCAAAGAATCTCCAAGATCTCCTTACGATCCTGTAGTAGGTGAAGTTAGCTAACGTAATATCAGGGAATACATAATGAAACCGCGAAGCAAAGGCCGTAGATAAGGTTACTAAATATGGCAACCCAATCATGGTCAGTCGAAATTGCTCGAAGGCTCTTGACATCGCGCGCGGAGTTGTAGAGACGAAGAGAATACATGCGCCGCCACGATGCAGAAGCCAGAAATAGCTTGCATAGGAAAGCAACTTACCTTTTCTTTCAAGAAGTTGCAGTAGCCAAAGATGCCGCACATTGTGATTCTAGGGTAAACAGAGGTGTCTATATGCGCATAATAATGCTATGATCAGTTTATCAACACCATAGATGGTGAGCTCAAACAAACCTAATATAAAGGAGGGCTGGCGTGAGAGGGCGTTGTCGAGGTCGGTGAACAAGAACAAAGCTTGAGCGACGCGGTTTAAGTACTCTAATTGTGGGTTAAGGGTGCGACAAATAATGCCAAATAAATCGGACGTGGCGGACACACAGCATCGGTTAAGTTTCAGAGCCTTCAGGAAGCTTGTGATGGAGGCTGCGCAACTTGAAAAATGTACGTCCAAGCTTTTCGGTTCAAATACTCAGGCGATTTGATTGAGGCACACAGTGTGATCTCCCCAACTTTGCCGACCACTATCAACGCTTATTTGTCGCTTCCGTGCATATAACGTCTTACTCAAACCTCATCACCATCCTTTTCATCGCTTCTGAACTTCTGGTGCGTTTTCAACCAGACGCGTAGCACGATAGTTTAGGTATTCCTTGCAATTGACGTGTTGTAATTAGGATCGCCTCATTCATTTCTGGACAGCGCCCCCTGCCAGAAATAGAAGATTACAATCAAATTACCCTCGTAACGTATTTCAAGGCGATCATTTCACAGGTTGCATCATTTTTTGCTGCGCAGCAGATAAGAATATGTGACAGGCTAAACATATATCGAGTTCTACATTGCCATGCCAGTGCAACAACCCAAGTTCGTTCGGGTGAGTCGAGTTATATATGGCGTCTCCTGGATATTGATGGCCATATTTCCCAGGCGTACTTACTAAGGCCCTAGGGTACATTGCATGCATGTCGGATTGAACAATCGCATAGGGCATGTGTATGAACATATGACTGACAGCAGTCAGGCTGTAGCTTGCATTTGTCGTGTTTGCGCCCGGGTTCATTAGTTGATCCAACATGACAAGTTCACTTCAGGACAATTACGTACGGAAGAGGACTGATGCCGCTTGTCTAATCTTATCAACGGGGATCTGAATATTGAAGTTCTTGGATCCTGTACATTCAACGAATCACCAAGATTGCAATGTAACGACCCCCTTCCTATTCACTGAACCCTGTGACTGACTGGTGAAAGATTTCTTGGACAGAAATATTCATTCACACGTCATGAACACAATATTAGCGCCAGTCGGGTTACCTGACCTCCCTCCTCAAATTACATCTCGGTACATCACTTTGAGCGACCGCGATAATCTGAATGTCCATATCCTGGAAGCGTTTCCAGATACAAGCAATCATTCGAGCACACCCAACCAGTTGATCCTTCTTCTTCACGGCTTTCCGGAACTTGCTTACTCGTGGCGCAAAGTCTTGGTACCTATCGCCAAGGCTCACCAAGGTTATCATGTTGTTGCCCCTGACTTGCGTGGTTTCGGGCGAACAACGCTGTCAGGATCCGGAGGCGCCAGTCAAGTGCAATACGAGGATACGCTTTCCCCGTATCATATACTCAACATCGCAGATGATGTATGTTCCCTTGTGCGAGCGCTCGGATATTCATCTGTTGCAATGCTCGTGGGGCATGACTTTGGGTCTGTTCTTGCGGGACACTGCATTGTGGCGCATCCGGAGCTATTTGCATCGGTCGTGTTCATGAGCGTACCCTTTGGGGGTGCCAGTGGCCAACTTTGGTCTCAAACGAGTAACGAGGGTGGAGATGACAAAGCGAAGGGACACTCCGTCGTTTCTGACATTGCCACTGCGCTTGCTGCACTCCAACCTCCGCGCAAGCACTATACGGCATACTTTTCTACTCCTTCCGCCAATGCGGACATGCTTGGTAAAGGAGGAAAGGATCTGTACGATTTTCTCGGCAGCTATGTCTACATGAAGAGCGGCAATTGGGATGGAAATGATGCACACCCCCTACCTTCTGCATCTTCACCTTCGCCCAGCGTTAGTGAGCTGACAAGGGATCTTGCTACTCTGCCAGAGTACTATGTCATGCCACTGCACGAAAGCATGCCAGACGTCATCGCTCGTCATGGACGCATGGACGCCCGAATCACATGGCCCAGGGGTGATGAAGTCGCCGAGGGAGTATACGCTGCTGAATTCGGCCGCACTGGTTTTCAGGGCGGGCTTAACTATTATCGGAGCGCACTCTCACCTCCACCCCCTGAGCGTATAGCCCAACTACGTGCTCTAGCTGGGCGACAAGTGGAGGTGCCTGCGGCGTTTATATCAGGGGCTAGGGATTGGGGAGTGTATCAAATTCCAGGTGCTGTGAGGAAGATGCGAGAGGTGGTGTGTAGCAGCGCGGGAGGCATGCAAGACGAGGATTTCGTTTTGATCGAGGGCGCAGGCCATTGGGTGCAACAAGAAGCGCCAGAGATTCTGGTACGGGAGCTTGTGAGGTTTTTAGGAAAGGTGAAGGCTTTGTAGGTGTTGCCGGGGCAAGTTGGGGCAACGAATGGGTGATGATCGCGATCATTCTCTCCTTTCGTTAAAAGACTTGTCGGCGGGGGTAGACTCGGCTGTCGATGGATGTACTACGAGGAATGTAAGTTCAAGCTTTTGTTCAAGTCTGGGATGGCGTTCTGGATGTCACGGCCGTAGCCACGGCCGCAGCGGCCCGCATGTTCCCCGAGCCCGTAGAAGATCGAAAAAAACACCCATCCGGGCCATAGCAACTTGTTCACCGCTGTCCCAAGCGGACATCCTCGGTCAGGATCATCTCCCAGATGTGACTAGACCCTTTGCGTGCTTCACGCAACTTCAAAATGAGACGACCTCGTGGTCACCACAGCCTAGGCTAAGTCTCCTTTCTTCATTTAAACAGGGACCACATGCTGGTGTTCGAGTCACGCTATACAATGGAATGTTGAAGGATTCAAATATGGTTTAAATGCCAGACGCGTTGCCAACTTGCGTTGAGACATTTTTCAATGCCGTAACAGGACAGTACTATGTCCCGGTGACATCGCAAGGTTACAGCGAATTTTTCTTGGAATAAAGCGTTATCCCATATGCACCCAGCAGCTAAAACAGCTCAGCTGTACAAACGTATTCGCGTGATGACCTAGGACGAAATCACTGGCATTATCGCCGCATCATGTGCATCCAGATTCCAACAGCTAGATCAGCATAGCTGTACAAACGCACCTGCACGGCACCCGTGATGTGAGTACGATCCTCTAGCAGCGGAGTCTAGCCTAAGCTGACTAGAAACAGGATTGAAGGCTAAGCAGCGATATCGGAAAAGAGTGTATATCCGGACGATAACTGTACTTGTGCGCTGCAACGTTCAATCCGTTTGTTCATCGTGATCCGCGGATGCCGATCTTTGATCTTTGATATCCACGAGTAGCCTGAGTACTCGACTTATATGTTGAATCTCTCATCGTGAAATCCAAAATTAAAGTTTGACCGTTTTCATCACGTGACCGCGACGGATGTCGACTCAGTCAGTCATCACCTTGGTTGCCAAGCTCTATTCGAGGCCAAAAAAAAGCAAACTTTCAAGAGTAACGGCGTGTCAACGCGTTAGAAATGAACTCGCCAATTGCACAACCAGTGACCCGAGGCTCAATATATTTTGCGCCGCGACGATCTCGGAATGAACGCCAGCGTCAACACTCATATCTGCAATGCCTCGAACTCCAACTTAGACTGACGCGTATAGATGCGGTCTTAAGGCTCGGGAACGGGTCCTTGCTCAGATGCTGATACGTAACCACAAGATGCCCGTCGGCTTACGGGCATTGCGCACGTCAACGCGTCAAAGATCACTTGCATAGCGAGCGCCCCGAGGCCCAACCCGCGACGATCTCGGAATGAACGCCAGCGTCAACGCTAATATTTGCAACGCCTCGAACTCCAATTTAAACTGACGCCTATAGATGCGGTTTTAAGGCTCGGGAACGGGTCCTTGCTCAGACGCTGATACGTAACCACAGGATGACCGTCAGCTCACGGGCATTGCGCAAGTCAACGCGTTAAAGATGAGCGGTCCACTTGCATAGCGAGCGCCCCGAGACCCAACCTTGCGCCGCGACGACCTCGGAGTGAATGCCAGCGTCAGATATACAACATTAATATTTGCAATGCCTCGAACTTGGACTCAAACTGACGCCTACTGGGGCGGTATCCAGACTCAAGAACGAGACCTTGCCCAGTCCGCTTGTACACAGCATCTTACAGTCTCGCCATGACGAGGACGCGAGAAATTCACACCTCCTCCTCCTATTCACAGGAGGCTTCCTTACTCACAACGTTGAACACAAATCACACAACGTTCCCTGCTCTTTCGGACTGTTATACGCTGAAAGCGGACTGCCACCTGCCAAGCCATCACGCTAGACAACAGAAGCGTGGCTGCTCTCGATCCGGTTGAAATTCCAAGCTGGGTTCATGACGCAGTGAACGGCGCTTCGGAAGTTAATGAATAATTGGAGTCTCGTGTGGCAGTCATGCATGATCCGTATGCGGAACAAATGGTGGGAGAGCAGCTAACGTCTTGGAGCACAATGTATCGAGCATGTATTCGCCGTGACGAGAGGCAGACACGTTTGTGTAACAGCTTCCCATGTAATGAATATTTTCGTAAGACAAAGTATGACTGAGTCAGCAGAGTTGTCCCTAGATGTTTTCCGCGGATCTGAATGGCATCAGGTACCCACAGCTGTTGTGATGGCTCCTGAAACTCCCCCGGAGGTTACGAAACAAGGAGAGAGATATCAATCTGGGGAGGAACGCCATCGACCAGTGAGTCATGCTTACACACAGTTGTGTTGTCCGCGGGGGCCTCGAGGATGCTTAAAGTGGAGAATGCTGATCATTTTGAAGGAATGGAGAGCATCGCCGCCGACTTTCAGGTACCTTCGCGCCGAATAAGGCGGGTGGGGATAGAGTACAGATTTACTTAGATAGGGACGATGGTGGAGGTAATGAAAGGACCAAATTGAGATTATCAAGAGGATCGTGATCGGCGTAGGAACCAAAGATTACGGCAGTCGAACCATATGATAATATCCGATATATGTCGTGCTCCACGGAATAGAATTTGACTGTCTTGTTTACATTTTCGGTGTGTCCGGGAGATAGAGTATGGAGATAAAGTATCGAGGATGGACCGCCACATGGGAGAGGATGATATCCGCGGGTAAACGGTCAACACGTGAATACACGGCGCGAAGCAAACGGATCGGTTTACTGTCGCGACTAGGTCAAGGGTGATCGATGGACAGCCCGCTGCAGCTTTGGAAACCACAACCCTGAAGCTCTCAGTGCCACATGGAGAGAGAGGTCGTACCGGTAGTTGGTAGGCCGATGGAGGGAACCGGTGTGATGGCGGCGGATCACGGGAGGGTAAGGCGGGAGTACTGACGAACGTGAAGTGGCACGACTGGAGTAGATTAAGGCATGTGGCTAATGCATGGCAGATCTTTACATGATTGGTTGAGGGGTTTGGGTTAATGACCGGGTCTAATGATGATTCGAGAAAAAGTTTATGAGAAGTTATCAGATGACAGTTAAAGAGCCAAGATCGAAGATAACGAACGATGTGATAAAATAAACTAAATTGGGTTACGAAGATCAACGGATGTCGTTGCTGAAGGGGTTTGGTTCAAAAGATGATCTGCGGTGAGTGTCGCTGAACCGTATCGGTATCACGAAACATTAACACTCCGTTGATTGTCTGATAGTAACCTGTGCCTCTCGGTTACGGAACTCGATCCGAAATTTGAACGCAGATCTTTCTGGCAGGCGGGTACGTAAAGGGCACAAGACGTTGATGATTTTATGTGTTTCGACAAGATTGGGCGTCTATAGGAGTATTAACCGGATACGGTAAACATCGGAGACCGGAGAAGTCTTACCAAATAGGCAATTTTAGTTTAGACGCTCGTCCTATGCGGATCCCAAGACGAACACTTCCTATTATGGATACCGACTTGACGGTGAGGAGGACTACTTTCTGCAACGAACGGAGAATTCAGGCGTATTAGACCGCTACTGCCGGGAATATGATTCAATTGGTAAGATTCCGGTCTATATAAATTATAAATTTTTGTATTTTATATATACATGAAATTCCGTCACGGCGAGGGCTTGTTGCCCAGAATGTATTGACAGTTTTCACACAAGATACTTCCATTCGGTCGTGCCTCTGCAACGAGTTCGATCCAGATTTTAGATCTGGGCGCCCTGCATACGCTCCTCCGTTCTTGATGTCAAATGTGATCTCATTCCTCCCTCTTCTTTCAAACTTCATTCTTATACCCCACCCAACTTCCTCACTCTCTCTCTCTTCAAAACACCCAACTTCCCTCTCATGTCGTTGGATCATTATCCAATCCTCACAGACAGACGTTTTCAACACTCGGACAGGCAGTCTTACCAGTTACATGATTTACCTCCTCCTCACTGGAACTATCAGTCCAGATCACAAAACGAAATCCCTCCAGATTATTCCTCAAATTCTTCTACTACATGGAACGTGAACTTGCTCAATAATTGGTCAAATGATGTCCTACCTTCTTCCTCTCCCTCACCATCATACGGTCTCAATCTCCGCCATCCCGGTTCCGGTCACACTCCCTATCCACAATCAGTTTACACCGAACCATCCCAACGTCATTTACAATCTCCATCTTCATCCGGATCATCCTTTGAACGCCAAGCAATCCAACACCGCTCTCCATCAGCAGCTTCTTCTTTCAAATTCGACGATTCTTCTTCATGGGGTTCAACTCTCTACACAATGGATGATAGAAGTACTCCATCCCATTCCATACCACCCACAGTCATCAGCACATCTCCCTCCGCACGTGCGTCTTCTAGAGCTTCATCATCTAGGTCTCCTCCCGTGAAGCTCGAACAAGATGAAGTTTCAAGCGCCGATTGCTTTGTCATGGAATTCGCTACCTCTGTCCCAGCTGCACAGGACAGTGCCTCATTGGCTCCCCCAACAGAAGTACCCTTGCGCGCAACTCAAGCAAGCAAGGCAATGCGCAAAATGATGGGCGTGTTTCGCCTAAATCCATTCTCAATGCACGAGGGTGGTGGTCAGGCAATGAGCACCTGGATGGGCGAGGATGCAGGTCCATTGGACGAAGAACCTCAGGTTTTCGAGTTTCAACTCGACGTTGGATACCGTGACTCTGATGAGGAACTCGACGAACAACATCCTTCCCATCTTCAGACTCTCGTAGAGGTCCCAGAACCTGGCCCAGATGAAAACACGAGGTGGGCGGAGGGTGACGACTCTGACCTCTCATACCCCTCACATAACAGCTGGGCTACCAACGATCATTCCTACACTTTGCCATCGCTTAGGTCATATCCTCACTCCCCTTCACTCTCTTCTGCTTCATCACGTAAAACGCCCCTGGATATGTCAGCATCAGAGGTACGCTTCCAGCTGATACCAAACCATCGTTTACTAATTGCTTGCAGTATTCTGGCACATATACACTCCATGGCTCTGGCAGCTGCGGTTCTTCAACGGATAACCTTCCGTCACTCTCGTCCATGGCGCGACGTTGGTCCATTCCTGCCAATCTACAGGCACCATTCATGATATAAAGTTGCATTACCATCACGATTAATCAAAGCGCCGAAGCGCTCAAACATTTTCAATCACTGTCGCAGCCTTGACGCACTTTGTCGATGGCCGATCTATCCCATCTAAAGGTTGCCAGAGTGGTTGATCCCAGCTTGTTTTACTTTGCTCCTCACGTCGTTTACTTTACACTGTCGCATTTTTCTTGTTCTTGATCATCCTTATTGTCTTGGGTCGTTCTTCGCTCACGGACAGAACTTCAAATCAAATTTCTGGCAGGTTGGAACGCATGTAATATACTCTGCAAAATCATACGATACCTATGATATGATACACAATTATTGTTCATCTTGTCCCACCGTAATTCAATTGGTACCACCCGAGCTCGGAGTGTGTTTGACATGCTTCACGTCACTTTTTTCGATCATACTAGCAGTATCTCCGCCACCAGCATGGCTAGTTCGCTTCACGACTCAAAACCGATCCTCTCGCCGTGTGGCGAACCCTGATCTATGAAGAAGACAAAAAGGGTCGCGCAAATGCATCATAGAGCCCAGACAATGAGGTGGTGTAAAATTAATTTTCATTCATAAAATTGAAATTATAAATATCTGCATTGCGTATCGTAATGTATGCATGTCGTGTTGTTCATGTCGCCGTCTGTCGTCAAGTCCGTTTGTCCGTGTGTGTACGGCACCACGCGCTCGTGAGAACGACCATTAGGCTTCAAGCTCAAGCTCATACTGCATTTTCAGAAAAGGAACGATCCCAGCGCCAATCATAACAGCGGAGAAGCACACGGACTTACTATGTAACTATGTATCCCTGACTACTTATTCACACAAACATTGACTCGGAAGCATCAACGCGTTTCAAGGCGGTGCACTCATCTAGAACCTGGGGTAGATCGGTCGATGCGGCCGCAATGATTTAGAGAACGACTAATGTTGAACCCTCGTTTTTTAAAAAACTTCTGACCGGTCGACCTAAGGCCCAACGGACATCATAACACTCCCACGAACATTGGTTATTGTTAAGCTATGTAGCACATGATACAATACAACATGAACTGACCGCTGACATAGGGCTACGCCCCACGGGGACAACAAATAAGATTGACACCCGTCAAGGGTCCAAAGTTGCGAAGCCGGCGTGTTCTGCAACGTGGGGCGTAAGCTTGGACTAATTCGTTGTTGAAAGTGATTGCGGTGAGTCTTCAGAGTTGTGTACCGAGCGTCTGGGGCCGAATTATTCAGCGATCTTCTGTCAAGCTTCGATGGAGCGGTATCGCCGCTTGCCGCTGCGTTGAATTCTAGACACCTGCGATAGTTTGATGGTGTGCGTTCGAAGACTGTTTGACGGGTCATACATCCTCATCGAAGCCCATGAAGATCTGGGGTGCCACTGAAATTGAACACAACACGCACTCCGTGATTTCAAGAATGACATGGAAGGCACAGAAAGCCAGAAGTTCAGGGAGAAAAGATGGGATGTCGCAACGCTTCTTAAAGGTACGGAGGCACACCTAAATAGAGTGAAGTCAGTTACAGACAAGCTAAACTGCAATCTGGGGAGGGTATCTACCCACCCCACAGATTCGAGGACTTGCGACGAGGCCAGAGAGGACAAGGACGTTGGGCGTTGCACTCACTCCCCGATAAGCTTCGGCAACTCAACAAGTTACCTTGCATGCCTAACTATCAGCACGATCTTTACGCGAAGTCAGCCAGTTCGTCATGTCGTGTGAACAGTGGCGTAGAACTAGCGGCCCATAGATGTCAATGACATGCGCCCGATTGCTGGTGATTCAGTGCCTCGAAACACTCACGATAATAAAGATACGATCTGCTGTTACAGGCAGGTAGCCGTTAATACAACGGGCGATGATAGAGTCTAGGCCAGCCAAGAGGATCGCAATCATTACCAACGGAGTTGCTTACAGCTGATATATGCCATTCAAAAAAGGGGGCACAAGGAGCCTCAAGGTCGCCTAAGGTCGTTCAACAAAAAAGCTATTCGTGAAACGAATGAAGAGACATACCTCGGTGGCAATTTGTGAGCAATAAAAAGGGTGATGATATTTTGCTGGAATCTGGACAAGGGTGAGTCAAAACATGAGTTACAGTTGATCAAAAAGTGACGAGACCAAGGTTGAAAGAGGATATTTATTTCTAGCACCGACGCGGTCATCGGGCAATATGGACGATCAGTTGGATATTCAAGTCGCAGATTTTCCTAAAGGTAACGGGAATACTGAGCACTCAGCAGTTCCCCCGTCATCGGTTATCTTGCGTTTTTAACGAATTGCCGTAAATGTCTCACTGACTAACTTTTCGCAAGTAATGGTCAAATTGTCGCCTGACATGCCGACAAAAAGGACTGAAAGTCGCAGGCGTGGACTGTTAATAAAGCAACTGTTTAGTTGTAGACGCGCACATAATTTTTTCCCCACACCTCAATACCCTCTAGCCCAGTATCGAGCGCGGGCGCAGTTCTTCTTCATGCTGGTTGCTTCTTGAGAAGCAGGCATTCTTTTGAGATCGATGTCAGGGATTACCCTAAAGTCAGAGTGCTGGGCGTGTTCCCTCTCTTGTATCACGAACTCCGAGGAGTCTTTGTCAACGTGTCTCTACCAGGTGTTGTTCCCATTATGGGAACAAGTCCTTGCAGATGGAAAAAATGTGCTATAAGGTCAGATGCGGTAAAGCGGTTGGAACGAAAGAGGGGCTTATAGTTTTTCCTTGAACAAGGACTCGAGGGCAGAAAAGGGCATGTTCGGGCAATCGGACCGAGAATTCGGCGGAGAATTAAAAAAACCGCCACGCGAGAGCCACGAGAGCCGATGGCCACGAGATCTGTCAAAACAACCACGACCACGCGAGCGAAGCAATCCGAGCTATTGGTAGGTAGTCTTGTCAGCAACATATATCACTTGCAACCTCTTTAAGTACTTCATATCTGCTCCTTATTTTCCGCCATCGCCATCAAGTTCAGCTGGTTCATGCTTGATAACGAAGAATACTCTCATGGACGTCGAAGGAGCGTCGACGTCGGCGGTTTGGCGCTTGCACTCGAAAACCAAGGCTTGGGTCATGGGTGGGGTGGATGGGAAGAAGATGAGCAAGGAGAAACTCGGTAAGCCATAATCTCGTATCTTTTTGATCGGCGAGGTTCTTACTAGTGTTTGATAATAGCTATGCCGAACTACTTAGCGATATGTACAACCACACCCAGACTACCGTCAGCCATCATGTACATGACATGTAATGTCTTTCTCTGTCACACTTGAATCTCTTAACCGATCCCTTCATCAGCTCTCCAATCGTGATACCTGCCCATACGCGAGCCCACCTAATCAAATCTCTCGATAGTTGGCATTTCGAGCCGCAGAACCTACCTGAGGAGGAAGTCCTATTCTGCGCGCAAATTTTGTTTGAAAGTCTGTTCCGAATTGAGCATATGCGAGAGGATATAGGCGTCTCCCTCGGTCAGCATCATTTTATCTCCATGTGACGACGTCTCTTATCACTCCGACAGATGATATCTCCGTGTTCTTGAAACATCTGCAGCCCCTATACTGTGGACATAATAGTTATCATAATTTTCAGCATGCTGTAGATGTGATGCAGGCCTCCCAGGCCTTCCTGTGTGCAGCAGGTGTCGTACCTCCAGTGTCTATATTGTTGGATAATGACAACTGCACATGGAGACCAAACAAGCTCGGGAAGGAACGACGTCTCGCATTCGATCTCAACAACACGTGTCTTTTTGCTCTGTACATTGTTGCCATTGGCCATGATGTGGGTCATCCCGGATTGACAAATATGTTCATGGTATGATTGATCTGCACAGCATCTTGCAAAAAAATACCACCTGACATCCATCTGCAGAAAAATGCCAAGGCGCCGTTATCCGACGTGTATGACAACAAATCAGCTCTTGAACAGATGCACTGTGCCCTCCTCATACAAGCAATGCGGCACCATGGCCTTGGGAAACTCTTGGATCGACCAGACAGCGGTTTTCGGAAAATGCTTGCTGGTATCGTACTGGCTACGGACATGAGTGTCCACTATCAATTCATCAGAGATTTTCAATCACTTGTGGATGGTAGAGAATATTCTTTGGATCGGCGCCGATTACTGCTTTGCCAGGCAATAATTAAGTGTGCTGACATTAGCAATCCTGTTCGTTTTTTTCTTCATATATATTCTATATAATTCTAACTTGCATGCGGTGTAGAGTCGGCCGCCTGGTGTCTCGCATTACTGGGCAAATGCCTTGATGGCTGAGTGGACCTATCAAGCATCACTAGAGAAGCGCTGGAGTTTACCGCCATCCGTCACGCCTTCCGAATGCCCATTAGACCAAGTCCGAGGACAGATATTTTTTATTGGTTCATACGCCAAGCCACTCATGGACCTTGTTGCACAAGCTGTTCCTGGTATTTTGCGTTTTGTTGCTGCCCTTTCACGCGCCTAATATGTCTACTGTTCCAGAAATGGAGATATTCGCTTGTCAGTGCACTGCAAATTTAGCCATGTGGGTGGCCCGCGAAGAAGTTCTGTCCTCCTCATCTGCAGAAGATTCTCCATGCCCTCCTGTAGTCACACCATCCCTTCGTCCTCCTAACGATTTTATCACTTCCTTTCCCCTCACTCTCCCCGCATTCGTTCTTACAGCTGACGAGCCTCTTACCTGCGGCGAGTGGCATTCTACATATCCGCCCTCAGATTCCTCATCATCATCGGATTTTGGTTCTGATGTTCACGTCGATCCCCTAGTGGTATTCCCATCCCTTTCACCCCCTGCATCCCCCGTGCCATCCGTATGCTCGTCTTACGCCCCTGCTCCACGTAGTTCGTCATCAAGTCTCGCAAGCAATACTAGCGATGCTACACAAGCGATGCGAGCCGCTTATTCAGCGAGTGTGCGGAAGAAGAAAAGTTTCCATCACCGGTACTCTTGGAATGTATCCATCAACTCTGGATCGTCCACAGGTGTCTCAAGTCCCCCACCATTACTTGCCACCATTCCAAAAGCTGCACTATTGCTAACTGAGTCCACTGCGTCAAACGGAGCTACTGTCGCGTCAGTCACTGCCGTGGTATCATCCCCCGTAGGTGGTGAGAATAACGGAGGACTGAAGGTGCCATGATCTCCCAACAAGGGTGCCACATGGTCCACGCGGCCACCTCGACTGTTGGCACTACATTTTGCGCAATGCATTTGACATGCGACAATGACATGACTCATGTCGGGTGGAGGCTACCCGGACTCGCCTTGATTCGCGTCATCATTCTTGGGCTACCGAGCAATCGCTGATAAGGGGGAGATAAACAGGTGTTCACTGTGTTAATTCACTTAATTCACCTACGCTTTATCAAGTTTGGGTCTGTTCGTTTACTCTTCGTGCATTCGATCTTCTATTCCCTTTTTGTTGTTTGGCTTACCAGCCCCAGCTTCCTTGATTAATATACTGGCGGCTTATACTACATACCATCATACCAATGAGGCTACAGCGGTTGTCCACTGTACGATATTGTTCATCATAAACTATTGATTGAAGAGCGGGAATGATTTCGGGTTCGCAATATCTCAGTCTCGGAGGGGTCACTGAGTTGAAATAAGTTTTTAATTTTAACGAAGTGACGCGATGTTAGGATTGTGGGCGCGATGGCTCCCCGCAAACACATGGTCAGGAGCAGAAGAAGATTAAGTATATTGAAGCTAAAACGCAAATAAAGCACAGGGAGGTCATTACGCAACATGTGGTAGCGGAATTCAGTAATTTCTTGATCAGAGTACATCTTCATTCACGTAAATTACTTGCATGTAGATTCACACTTGTCCACTAGTAAAATAAAATATTATATTCAAATTACGGAAATGATCACATGCAAAAGGACTCCAAGTCATTGTCCCGTCTTTAGATAAATTCCATCAGCTGCAGGGGCACGCCCCGTCAATGTCGAGAGAACGTACTAGCTAATAGAAGAGGAGACAAATGACTAGCCCACTCCCTTTCAGCGTGCCTTTCTAAACGTGCTTCTGTGGGTCATCTGAGGCCTCCGTGCACTCCACCCAGTCAATCCCCGCTTCCAATGTCAGGAAGTGTACTTCCACGCAGGGATGTGCACCCGGGCCCATCGGCGGACTTGACGCTAGTGTCGTGACTAGGACGGGGTGAGAACCGTCGGAGTGCAACAGGTTTGATAGGACGACAACGTCATGGCTGCCTGCCACTGGCAGATGGACAGCCGAGAGAGACAACTGACAAACAGCGGGATTAGTGATAGATCAGGGCTGCGTTATCAATTTACTGACAGGAGTTGTGCCACTGTGTCTCGTTTCCATTTGTAGCTTACACAGTGGACGTGACATATCGGAATAAAATAAAATCGGTTCCCTCCGCTGAACATTATCCATGAGGATAACCTCGTTAGGAGATCTGTCATCGGGCAACTTGAAGCGGCTAACGAGAGAGCACAACTAGCCCAGTTCAACCACTGAAATATCAGATTACATATCACGGGTTGCATTGTACATACCTTTCTTGTTGCTCAGATCAATCTCATCTTTCGATTTGGCTAGGAACAGCGCTGGTAGAAACAGGTGATCCCAAGGAGGGTACTATTAACCTGTGAGTGGTAAGAAAGTAGCATTAATGCCGCGATGTGGTGAGCAGGCGAACCTTCCTTTCCTACAATTTTAACTGAGACATCTGTCATTACTCAACATTCAATGCCAACGGGAATCAGATTTGTTACCTGTGGAGTGATATTAAGCTTCAGTGTGCCGTATTGCACTCTGCTTCGTTCCGTAATCTGGCCCCCATCCATTATTTCCAGTGCACACCTTTAATTTCCGATGCCAGTGCCATCCGCCATGGTTTGTTCTGACCTTCTGGTGTTGCTGCGTGTCGGAAAGTTTGAAATTCAAACTCAGCGACATTGAGTTCAATACTTGTTAGTCATAACTTCAAGAACCTTGTCCGATATCAGACTTGAATCCGGAGGTTTACCTCAGGGTCATCCATGATGCATGAACATCCTAGCCCGCCACGTTCTTGCCACAGCTCTGTTACGCAAGGACAAACGTACAGAATAATGAATGCGACGCACGCATCTCGTTTTGGTTAAAGACAGGTGTTGTATACCTCATTCGTGGGCGAGTCCTTTTTTACATACGCGGGAAGACTGAGCTCACCAGGAGCCAGGATCTTAACCTACAGGCTTCTGTCGGGGAACTCAAATTATTGAAACGCGTTTGATATGTCGTCACATCGTTTTAAGCCACGTGCAGATCTATATCTTGCTGCCTCTGAGACGCCTATGTGAATGCAATCGCGGGATGGGGCCAGGTTAGCGGGGCTCACCAGCGGTATCCTGTATCATGGCGTCAGAGACACCTGGCAGCACAGCTGCAGGGGCTATTAAAAGATGACTGCGAGGCACAATTACTGGTGACTCGCACAACAATAAATTTGTTACCAAAGTGATGAGACATTCAAGTTGATCGATGTCAATGCACAGTGTCATCGCACGCGATACGAGCACAACAGATGGGCTATCTATCACAACAACAGCACCTTGTGCCACGGGTGGACCGGACCGAGTAGATCCGTAACCGACAAGTACCCTGAATCAGTCTAACTGACGCTTGATTTTTTTCTTGATTCATGTCATCAGATGCAGGCCATTGTGTTGTCATTGTGCTCATTCCAGTACAATCGAGAATGATGATCATCGGTGCAGAACAAGAACACCAGTTATACAACGCTTTGTGATTAACACAGGGATGGTCACAATAAAGCATATATCTAGGAAACGCGTTATCATCACTGGACTCGGATACCCGTCTCACGTTGGGCTCACCACATCATCGCGCAATCTAACAGATGACTGCGTAACCACATAATCCATCTAAGTCCCATACAGTTCAAATTCCCATGGCACTTGGGAGTCTGGGAGAAGATCACTTAACCATATTCTTCGTAAACGACATGTCGCATAAATCTTGATGTACGACAGGTGTGAATATGTCCCACTAGGGACGGGGGTATTTATCGCTGAAAGTGTTACTGGACGATTGATGTCATGACGGCCGCCTTCGCCGTCATCGAGTTGATTCATGCCAGCGAGTGTGCTAAAGTGGGGTATCAAGGACGGAAGGTTAAGCGTAATTGTGGACCAAGCTGTCAAGGGACGAGACGAGGGCTGTGGAAATGAAAGAGGCAGATGAAGGACAGGTTGCGCATTCGGAACAGGAGACATTGCAAGTTTGGGTTCCTTCTGATAAGAAGAAGTCAGTAGATGGGCATATTACACTATGGTCTGCATCGAAGATTGATTCTGAAGAACAGGGGAAATCATAAACGTCATGCACCTGAAATGTTGAACAGCGAACTACACCGCGCCTCCCCGACTTGTCAACGATACCTATGTCGAAAGACCACTCCCTGCCCACGTTTCGGACTTGCAAATGAAGCCATTTATGCTTTAAGCCCAAATCTCTGTCACCGGGATCTGTAATAGGTGGAGACCGGATGAAAGTCATCCGGAGAGTTGGGGACTGGATATGAAGGACAGTCTGATGCAGGCCATATCCAATATTTGGTTCATCACGGTCATCGAGTGCCGGCATCGAGCAGAGAACAGCAGGTGGTGACGGAGGTGGTAGTGAGGACGCATCATTGAGAAAATGGATGAACGAATCTGCGGCGAGAGACTCATCTGTCTGCTGTGAAAACAGGGAAAGAGGTTCGCTACTCGTAGAAGAGAATAGAGAAACGATGTTCGGCTGTACCGTGTTGGTAAACATCCAAGTCAAAGTGTCCGGCACTGCCACTCTTCCATGTTGTCAAGACTGTTGTCCACTTAACCGTCACACCAAAGGCAGTGATACTGAAAGCTTGGACAGCAATTATGTAGACTATGGGAACTTTAGTACTTTAGTACTTAAGCCGGCGGGCTTACGATGCACCGAAAAATTGATTTATATTATGCATGTAGCGATGTCCGTTACAGTGAATGCATAACGAGAAATGACAGTGTCGGTAAGTGAAATGCTGGGTGTCAAGTAATGTACGAGCAGTGTATGCTATTGAGTGGTGGGGGCATAAAGAAAGCAAATATCGAAAACAATGAACAACGCAAACTACACACTGACATACGAACGCACGGCCTGCTTCAGTCCATTGAGCAGTTCTCGTTGCTTGAACGGATCGTCTGGCAGCTTCAAATTACCCATGGCAAGAGATAAAAGATAAGTAAAGTCTGCTTGAGCGACCAAAGGTAGCTTGGATGCCAGCGATTTTTTCTTTCGGTCGTCAACCTTGGCTTTGAATTGTTTCGCGAAATCCTGAGAAACGACTTCGGCGCGTTTGATCACCTCCTCGGGTACGCCTGCGAGCTTGGCTACATGTGTGCCAAAGGACGAAGATGCAACACCATCAACCAACTTGTACAGAAAGACAAGCTGCAGAAATGTTAATCAACCAGCAACCCACGGTATACAGCTTACTTGCCTCGTGTTTTTCGTCGTCAAGCATGGTAGACATGTGCATGTTCCTGATGTTTGGATGATAGGCAAAATCATCGGTGAGTGAACCATAATGTGTTGCAAAGAATGCTAGCGGAAGGGTGCGGGTGGCGATTTCATGGAGGACAGCCTGATGTCGTACAAGGTCATAATCAGAAAACCCATGATATGCAAGTGAGACATACTCCAGCGATTGCCATACCGTCCTGAATAAAGAACCATCAATAGTGAGTCGCGAAGAAAGGGGCGTCGTCTCTTACATAAGTAGAGGTACCTCTTCCCAATTCTCGAATGTGGGTCAGCCGGAAATCCGTTTAAAAAAGGGAAGATAGCATACCATCGAGGATTACCAACGATTTAGGTGTAGCATCCCGCAAGATCTTGCAACTACTCCTCGTTTGTAACTGAGATGCCAAGTTAGGGACATCACTCACCACTCATCTAGTTCAACTTTGAACGTGCTTGAATGGGAAAACATGTTATCATAAGCGCCCATCCGCGTGAGAATAGCATCTATAGGACAGAGTCTGTATTGGCGTCAGTGAATGCATCTTGTTAAAAAGGTAACAACAAATGCTCACCGAGCTGACTTGGCGGGAACGAGCATGCCCAACTGCGCCATGATGACACCTGTGGCTGTCATGCGCATGACCTAAGAAAAACAATGAAAACAAATCACTGGGGCTGTGTAACCACCCACTGTGGATTTTCCACTACGCATCATACGATGTAAGTAATCGCATACCAAAAAGATGATTCTGACTAACCCCATGTTCGGACCTGTCAACAGCGCAATCCTACCGAGATCGCCGCCCAATTTGACATCATTCGCAACGAAGCCCTCCCGCAAGCTCGCTAGTGTTGGATGTCTCAGCTCTTCAAACTCAATAAAGGCAGCATCGCCTTCCACGAACTCAGGCCGACAGCTTGGTTCGCCCATCGCGACAGATGCCTTCGCGAGGCTGAAGAGGCAGTCAAGTTCGGCAAGGACACGTACGGCGCGGAGCCATGTGCCCCGGTCGGTATCGAATTCGGCATACAGACGTCCTCTGAAGGACTTTACCGCCGCTGAGCGGTTCTCGCGTGCTTCCTTGAGACTTCGGATTGTCGGTTGAAGGGAAGGCACGATCCAACGGGTAGCTGCCTGACGTATAACAGTAAGCCATGTTCTCATGGCGCATCCTGATTTACCCACCTTGGTACCGCTGCTTTTGACCCAGTCATTAGGGACTTCTTTCTCGTTCGCCTTCGTCTGGACAAGATAGATCTCCTACCAGAAGATATAACAATGAATATCAGTTATTACGACAAAAGCGAATCCTGACTTTGTTCCCCTGAGCGCTGTGCCACCACGTAAGATTGCGCCTATATCAAACTTATCAGCGCAAACCGCCTTCTCGAGAAGTAAGAACCTACCCAAGCTTTTTCTCAAACTTCTTGAGTTGCGCGTCTAGCGTCTTCTCAAGCTCCTCAATTTCACACATAACTTCATCATACACCTCATCCTTGCCTGCAACAGGGAGCAGCTCATCCGTTTCTAAAATATTATTATTAGTAGCAAGGAACGAACAATAAGAGTGATCTATGAAAGACAAGGCATTACATACCTTTATCCTTAGTAAACCGCGATTCTACATTCTTCAGATTGGGAGTCAGATCTGGTGCTGATCTCAAAAGTCCGAGGATCGTCTTCGAATCGAATGACTCAGAGCTGTCGGCGAGCTTCGCAAGGCCGCGGCTAAGCTTCTTGAAGGCCTAGGAGGCGAAAGGGAGTTAACATCAGAGATTGCACAGATCTTGAGAATGATATATCAAGCAGGGTGGTTCAGAAGGCCAGATACCCACGCATCAAACGCGGTCCACATCTCGATCCATGGATCTGATGCGCCCACGATACAAAATTATTTTGCACGGGAAGATACGTACCGCCAGCACTTTGACAAAATCTTTAACCTTGCAGTTATTTGCGTGAATCCTGGAAATGATCCGCTCCAGATCGGGGAGTCCTTTTGCGAGTTCGGTAAATTCTTGCTCAAAAGTTGCGTGTGAGATGAGGTCCTCCACAGCATTCAAGCTGCGGAAGATTGTATCAGTACTATCACAATCTCTTTAACCTTAAGGAATGCCGTACCGTGCATTAATATCTTTAACTTCCCGCAAAGGAACGCACAGCCAGATCCTAAACAGTCGTTTACCTGCATGGCGATTCAATACCTTCTTGAAGAAATGGAAACGCAAAGCCCACCAAACGGCGTGATGCATCTCCCCAGGAGTTTATGCAACGATCCATCTTCTGTACCTTCATTATTGAGTAGAACCTGCACCATCACATCAATCACTGCCTGGCGGGAAGAGCAATGAATGACGGAATGACACCCACCTCAACGTGGGCAAGCGTCTGCCCATCTAGCACAACATTGGTTCCTCTCTTCATTGGATCATAGACATCAAAGTTCCGCATCGTAAGCAGGTCCTTGTCGATGTTCAGCTGACGGAGATACCTATTTTTAGACCTAGCATTCATGTTCTGCATTATCCTTGGGACATCGGATACTCACCACATCAGCGCGCCTAGAGCCTCCATCGCGGCACGGTAACTCGCCATGTCCCGAATACTCTGTGGGACAGCGCTCGATAACTCGGCGTCCTCATCCATCGTATCTTCCCCTCCAGTATTAGCCTCAGAAAACATACTATTCAGTTCGTTGATCGTCTGCGGGTAAGTAAATCCTTCGACGTCCCGGAGACTGGTCCACAAACAAGATCCGGGGAGGATGGACTTCAGTAGACGCGTCGTTTGCACAGAAAGATTCCCCTATCACAACAGATATAATCATTCTGGAAAGTTGAATAACGTAAAGACGATCAGACCGACCTTGGTGAAGATCACTTCCTTTGGCCGCAGCTGCCTCATCATCGTCTCCAACTTCGTTGTGCATACATCATCCTCAAATGCACTTAGGCTAAACTGGCTTGTGGCACTATCCAGGACGCAGACTCCGAAGCTGCTCATGCCATCCTTCCCGTCTGCAGACTCGCGCAAGGAAATACAATGCCCCGCTTGCTCATCTGTGAGGAGGTCTTCGTCCACAAGCGTGCCGTTTGTGTATACTTTGTTGAGCTCTCTACGGACGATCTTCTCTTTATCTTTTCCGCCAGCACCCTTCTTACCCTTGTCCTTTGCAAGGCGCATCTCAGCACCAAGTGCCGTCTCTGCTTGATCCACACGGCCGACTTTATATCCTGTATCCAAATTTTGCGCTCAACCTGGTAGTGCGGAGAATATCAACATATACATACCCTTTCCGAGGAATTTACTAGCGTGCAGGACTTAATGAGCAATCGATCACAACTGTGAGGAATGGACTCACGCAGCCCAAAAGTTGAAGCTCATTTCAGGTACACCAACCTAACAAGTCGTGCATCAGTGGTCCAAAGGGAAACGAGGCAGCGGAACCCACCATGGACATCTTCACGCGCTGAGTGAGTTTCAAGTCAAACTCCCGGTGCCCGATCCGTGCATCATCTTCATAGAGCTAGGTGTGAGTGAGCACACAGGTTTGAACATTACAATGCCTCTAGCTCACCTCTAGGAATTTTCTACAAGCGGAATGGCCATGAACATCAGTATGAAGGGAACGAACGGGGAACACACCCTTTCTGGAAAAACAAAACCTAGTGGGAAATACACACGTTAGCACGATTCAAATGTAACTGGACTAACACATACAGTGTCGAAGTGATCCTGCTTGATCTGTAGACATAACGAGGGTCAAGGACACCTCCATAAATCATTACATCCCCACGTACCTCCCAAAACTGTGTAAAAACATCGCAAAAGCGTCAAAATAAAAGCAAAAGAACAGCCGCACCTGTGTTTCAAAAGGCGTAAAGTCTGTCCATGATTTCTTCGGGATGTACAGCGTGCGCGGGTCATATCCAGGCTCGCCAGGGCGAACACCATCTTTCTGTGGACTGTATTAGCAATATGAAACTACTGGATGGCACTGGAGAAGAGAAGACGAAGATGAAGTCGCATGTATCCATGCAATCGAAGGAAAAATGGAAGAGTTTTCCGTGTATTTATGCGTTCGAAAATGCTTCCACCCCCAAAAAAATGAGTGAGGCATTGAGAAACACGGTGATGTATCTCCTTGAAACGAAACTATTAGGACGACTCACATCTCGCACATCAACTAAAAATGAAAACGGATCCTCAGTAGCTTTTTTCTCAGTCTTCTTCTCTTGTGTGCGCCGCTCTGCCTTCGTCAAAAACGCAGCGTTTCCTCCCAGTCCACTCACGCTTCCTTTATCACCGCCAGCTTTCCCAGAATTCTTCGGGGACGGACGCTTTGACTTCGCGTATTTCTTTGTGGGGACATCTGACTCCTCACCAGACTGGTCGTCCGAGGCGGCAGACTTAAACGACTTTGAACGCGAAGAGGCGCGTGATGATGAACGCTCAGGTTCTGAATCAGAGTCAGGGACAATAAAGTCGTCGTCATCGGAAGCTCTCGATTTTTTCTTAGATGCTGTTCATGTTCAGATAAATCTGTGGTTGTACATGCAGCTACTCACATTTACCAGGCGACTTGCGGAACTTGGTCAAGCGCGATGAGAATTGCGAGCGCACGTCTGCGTTCTCGTCGTCTTCCTCATCGGAAGTGGGAACCGAGGGTGTAGGCGCGATACGCGGTTTCTTCGCGTGTCCGCGTGAAGGAGAGGACTTGTCATGACATTCGAGGGATGAGGTGCGGTATGTAGCTTGTGTCGTGCTCTTCCCTAAGAGAGCCTCGTCCTCCTCATCGGAGTCGGCTAGAATAAGCTTGCGCTTCGTTAGGCGCGTCTGTACGGCAAGGGAAGTTGAACTGTCAGAAAAAGTCGCACAACACTTTGAAAGTAATTTTAGAACGCTCACATTAGCACTCTTCTTGACCGACGCGTCCTCATCATCTGATAACATGTCGACATCTATAGGAATGGGGTCCGAGGTCGGTGGAGTCTCCATGCCGCTTTCTGCATCGATATCGATATCGGAAGATGGTCTTGAGTCTGGTGTCTTGGGGGTAAATTTTGGTTTTGTTTTAGCAGCCGAGGAAGTCTTTGTCGACCCAGAGGAAGTTTGAGTCCCTGGTAAAGTGGAGCTTTCTCGCGCTGGCGTCGCGCTGGTCGCGTTCTGAATCTTTCCTGCTGCAACTGAACTTGACAGGCCGGGTTTCGCAAAAAAGTTCATGAGGCTTTTCTGCATCATGCTATCGTTAGACTTTTTCTTTGCAGGCGTAGGTGCCATCTTGATTGTTCAGGTTCCTTTGAAATATGATACCAACTTTACTTATTAGGTCGCGTCGGAGCGCGTTTGTACTTGTTTGGTGCTTATGCCAACGGAAATTATTTTGCTGCTCCACTAGTCGCTCATACGATGCATTGCTAGTCTGACAAAAATGACAGTAGTGTTTATTCACTAACGGTTTGAAGTCAATTCCATTCGAAATTTGACTCGCAACCAAAATCACACTCGAAATTCAGGCCTCAGGTATGATCCGGAACTCCATGTCATACCCCAGAATTCACTGATACTGACACGTACAAGAACGACGGTCGTCATTAATTGTTCTACTCATTGAACTTGTCGTTCGTGCACCATCCTTAAAGTTCAGAAATTTCCAACTCTTGTGCTCATGAACACTGTCATCTCTTTTCTTCCTGCCCACTGCCAGCACTTCAAGCAAGGTCCAGCACCAGATCCCCAAGGCGCTTATTGTCGGCCTCTCCATCCTCGTTCTCCCCATCATTACCTATTTCTCTAGTTTCACCGACACACATTATTAACCGCTCGGCGGTGGCCACTACACTAAGCTGAAGCAAACATGTTGTAGAGTCTGGGTCTTTTGAATGCCGTCACGGAGGGTGTGCGGAGTTGGTTCTCAGGAACATTTGAACTTTGTTATTCTGAGGAACCGAGTAAGATCTGAATGATAGTAAGATTCTCCTATCGCTCCGTCGTGGGTCATAATTCATTCTCAGATCAGTACTATATATTCTAGTACAATTCGACCAACGTCCTTTGAAAATCATAGAAACACATCTTACCATGCTCGACGATGGATCCAGACTTTACTTGGCCACATCGGCTTTGGTGCTGGCTATCTTCAGCTGTTACCGAAAATATCGGGACAAGCAATCGGGTCCTCCACTTCCACCTGGTCCTACATCTCTCCCAATACTGGGGAATGTTCTGAGTCTTGATGTCGCTCGGCCTTGGCAGACCTTCAATGCCTGGAGGTCCACATATGGTAAGCACATCGTGACGAGGGTTTGTTCTTGATAGACTCATGTTTTCTACAGGCGACCTCGTGTATGCTCGGCTCCTCAACAAGCCTGTGGTTGTGATTAACTCTGAGGAGGTTGCGAAAGACCTCTTTGAAGGGCGTCCCACCATATATTCGGATAAACCCCAGTCCATTGTTTACGAACAGTAAGTCAGCATGTTGAAGTGCTACTACACAGTGACGACGAAGATGTTGTCAGCTTCGGTGCAGACTCCAACATAGGGCTTATGCCATATGGAGACAGGTAATGGACTGTTCTCTGTTGTGTTGACTAGTGTCTGAAATCCAGCAGGTGGCGCCTTCACCGACGAATCTGTCATCAGGCATTTCGTCAAGCTGAAGCACCCACTTATCACGCTATACAAATGCGTTGCGCCCGCAAAATGTTGTTTAGTATTCTACAGGACCCTAGTGAATATTCAAGACATTTTGAGATGTTGGTGCAACCGTTTGTTCTGGTCCTTGTTGAAGCTGATTTTTATCAGGTTTACCGTTTCCTTTGTACTGTCTTCAGTATATGGTTACGAAACAAAGGCCCAGGATGATCCCATGGTCCCCATCTTGGAAAAATTTGCAGACCGGCTACTCGCAGCCTTGACGCCAGGTGTTACTGTGCTACTCGAAACATTCCCTTTCCGTATGTTCGCACATGCAATGGTGACCTGCCATTAAATCTTAACGGTCATTTTAGTTCTGAAGCTACCCAGTTGGTTTCCTGGTGCCACATTCAAGCGAGCATCACTGGAGTGTCTCAAGGCAGCCCATGATATGACGGAGATACCCTTTCAAATTGTCAAAGAGAGAATGGTGAATCATGACGCCCATAGAGGTACAATGAACTGACGGACCGTACATAGTCTGCCGGCATCATGGTCCCTTGCTTCGTGGCTGATACTTTGAACAGGATGAGGCATTTAAATGATCCCGTCATTACAACTGCAGTCAAGGAGGCTGCTTCTGTAATATTTGCAGGTACCCCAAGCTACAGAACTTTGTCCCCTCGATGCTTATTGTTGTTTGTGTCTTTAGGGGCATCTGAAACGGTGTGTAACGCCCTGATCTGCATGTACCGTGGTGATAATCTTACCCTCGGCCTAGACTACTGCCACATTACGCGTGTTCATTCTTGCTATGGTGCTCAATCCAGAGGTACAAGCCAAAGCCCAAGCAGAGATTGATGAAATTGTCGGCAAAGATAGACTCCCCCATTTCAATGACAGACCAGCGTTGCCTTACATTGACGCTGTTTTGCGTGAAATACTCAGGTGGCAGCCCGTCTTTCCGTTTGGTCCGTTTCACTGTTGCCCTTTGTTTCCCTCCCTCTGATAATATGTTCAGGCATCCCAGGCGCAACAACGACCAGTGACATTTACAAAGGCTACTTCATCCCTAAAGGTTTGTGAATGTAGCATACTGGATGACCGATGGTTGCTGACGACCTGGTTTGTCAGGGGTTGTTTTATTTACAAATGCATGGAAAGTTCTTGCTTCCTTGATACTGAACGTCTCGAAATGATCAAACTTTTAGGGCACTTACACACGATGAAAAGAAGTACCCCAGTCCTGATGAATTCAAGCCGGAAAGATTTCTTCATGAAGATGGGTCCCTCACTAGTGACAGGATGCAATTAGGCTTTGGCTTTGGTCGCCGGATCTGGTGAGCATACATTCATGCAACTTCTTGGCTATGTTAAAAACCACTGGTCAGTATGGGACGATATGTCGCGGATGCGTCACTCTGGATCGCGATGACGAGCTTTCTCGCCATATTCTCAGCTCACAAGGCTCTTGATGAACACGGCATGGACATCCCAGTCATTCCAAAGTTCTCTACAGGTCTCGTCATGTTTGCATAATCTCATTTATCCCCGAGAGTAACTAGTCTGCTGATCTGTTGTTTTTTCAGTCATCCGGAGAAATTTCCCTGCCGCATTGTCCCGCGGTTCCCCGACACATCTTTGAAGACACTGATGCACTTGACTGGGTTAGATCCGCGTGTCGACATCTCCTGAATATTTCACATACGGCAGCAGGGCAATCCCATTCTTGGTTTAAATGTGTTGTATACGGCTCACGGATATAGCTTTCTACTTTGTAAATTGTATCTTACCATTCGAGCATAGGGCAGAAATAGCAGATAAGTTATGTATGACAATCAAAAGTGTGGTCAACCACAGTGCGTGTGTCTAGTCAGGTGATCACCACAGTTTCTAGTTCTCAACGTTCAACCAGTCCAGTGTGTGCACTGTCAAACATTTCTGATAACACGGCAAGTTATAGATCAAGTCGGTCTATGAGGCGGTCGCGGAGTTGGATTACATAAGTTGTTTACGCGCTTTGGAGTAGTAACGTGATCTTTAGCCAATAGGAAAACTGAGACATGCGCATGAATACTAAAGTACTTCAAGTTATTTAGGGCGTACATTCGTTGATCATCGTCTCATCTTTTGTTTTGGGTGGATTCCTGCACTTCCTTTCCATTCATTCCCCACCACGCTCTCTCGTGAAATGAAACAAATTTATTTATTTAGTTCTGCACTTGCTTTCCTTACTTCTGCTGTCTTAGTACAGGCGGCACAACAGGGTGCCACTTGGTCAGTTCACACGTTCAACAAAAAGTTTTATTGCCTCAAAGTTGACTTGACTCCGTAGCAACTCAACGAACCTATGTTCATCCCAGTATCCTTGTTGCAGTGCGTCGCATAATCGACATCTTCTGTCACATGAAATTCATAACAATTTGTTAAACTTCCCTCAGGTGAATACGGGTTCTGCGGTGATGGATATGTGCGTCCTATTTTAGTCGTTTCAACATGCTGCTCAATCTTGTTAATCTGTAGTACTGTCTCGGAGGATGCAACCCCCTTGCGTCTAACACTCTCAACTCGTGCAATCCCAGCCCAATTTGTGAGAATGCTAACGTGTGTTCTTTCGCTCTCCTTTCGCGCGAGTGGATCTGACGACAATTCGATATTCAGTACACGCTTTCGGATACCTCTCGCATCCTCAGTAACTATACCTACTTCAATGGGAATGCCTCTGAGTATGGTCAGTGTTAGAATGAATTACTTTTTAATAGTTTCACTCATGTGCGTTTCTTGTTTGTTACTTTCACAGACTGGGTTGTGGAACAAGGATCAATTATTAATACTACATCCAATGGCGAGGCTGCAATTGCCGTCCTCCTCACTGAAACCGGTGGCGGTACTCTTCTGTCTTCAACCAGATACGTGCATTACGGTCAAATCACAGCTAGATGTGAGTGTTCGTTTTTTCAAGAGGCTTTGTAGTTATTCCCTTCTCGTTCACTATCCTTGTAACTTTGGTTTTTTCTCTTCCTCTTCTGTCTCGGATACCTTAAATCTGTTAACATCGTTTTTTAATCTAGTACAAACTGGCCGCTGGGCAGGCGTCGTTACTGCATTCATCACCATGTCTAACATCAAAGATGAGATCGACTGGGAATTCCCTGGTAATCAGACGACCACCGGACAGACCAATTATTTCTGGCAGGGAGTCATTCGTAAGTTTCTTATGGCTGTCGATCCTGCGGAATGTGTTGATGTGTTGTGCCTCTCCTCCATACGCAATCTACTCTCCGCCCATGCCCGGTTTCATTGCGATCAAAAGCTACACAAACTGCTGGTGTAACTGAGACTGGTCTCACGGATACTTATTCCAACTGGCATGATTTCACTGTAAGTCTTCGGTTTTATCCACTAATCACTTCATGCGTGATTTTCTATTTCGGTGCGTACGCTTTTACAGCTCGGTTCATGAGCAACGAAAGCGCACGCAATTTCAGTCGAACAGTTTATTTGTGTATCATCTTTTTGCCCTATCCGCGATGTATATACTCTCCTCGAAATGCCGCCTGATAGTCGATGCCAAAGACTATCTGCCTCTTTGATTCAATTCCATCACTGCCTTTTCGGTCTCTTATCTCGAACAACATGCTAACTTCGTCTCTCCGT